AAACGTGTCTTCTTGTGGTAAAGTAAATTTTCTTTAAATATTTTAAAATTATTTCCCAGCTTTTTACATATAATTTTCCTCAGTGCTTATGTGTGTGAAACCGCATGCGGTCCCCCGACAAAAAATGAGATTTGCTGACCGGTGGTCATTAAAGCACATTTACAATGAGCCAAGCCATGTTGGCTTGTGGCTAACATGGTCTTAGCCACAGCCACTGCCCCACTGCTGTTGCTGCTGCTGCTGCCTCCTCACCACTGAAGTTTCCACACACAAAACGACCAGAGACAAGCGATCAAATCGATGCCGAAATTAATTTATCTTTGGCACTCTTTGGCTACCAAAATTTGACAAATTGCAAATGTATTTGAAATTGACTTCAAGTTGTTAGATCAAGCTTCTCTTGATGGTGGTGGTGGTGGGAGGTGGGTGCAAGGGGGCAGCGCTATAAATTGAACAAGCTAGTCCTGATACTTGATTAAATTTACATTTGGCTTTTGCAATAACTTGGCATTTTAATTATGTTGTTTAATCGCAAAGAAGGGGACGTTTGGGTAATAGGGAAACAGAGTGGTTTTTTTTGGGAAATTTAATACATCTTGCAGTAACTTTCAAAATGAAAATTATTGGTTGTAATTAAGGATTAATGTTGCAGTTTTTTAAGATATATAAGTGCTTTATGAAATTTACTAGTTACATTAAAAATATTTCTAAATAAAATCTAATGTTCCTTTTTATAAATTTCCTTTTATATAACATCTCTTGGCCTAAGAAAGACCCCTTTAATTAATCGTTTGAAACTGTGAACTCTGTAAGATTTCCCTGGCAATTGTCTAGGCTGAGGTCTGGTTTAAACTCAATCCCATGTAGCAGGGCAGCACCCACCCTTCCACAGAGCTCCTTCAGCTTCTCCACTTCCTCAACTCACGCAGTTGATTGCACTAATTGGCAATGAGCGTGACGATCGCCAGCGATGGACATCGACAACAAGACTGAGATGAGGGATTGGGAAAGGGAGAAGCTGAAACTGGATGAGACAAGCTTTTCATTCATAAAAAAAAACACACACAAACATTTGCTGAGTGGACCGGAAGTTCTTATTTGATTGCAAATTGTGATAGGTTCCAAGAAAAATTGTAAACAAGAGCTTATCGTTAAGGTTTCAGGATCATTAATAAAAAATAAACTTAAATATTTTGTTGATATTTAAAAGTTTTCAACTATAAATTAAGTACAAAATAAAGTACTTTCTTGTTAAAAATAAAATACATAATATTTAAGGTGAGAGTATTTACGTTTTCTGGGTTTCTGGAACGATATTTAATAACTTCTGGTAAAATAAGATATTTAAAAGAAAGAGTATATTGTACTTCTGCTTTTCTCAATCAATATTCCCTTCTTCTTCCTCTGCCCAAGTTCAGTGGTGTTAATTAAAGCAAAAAAGAGGCTTAATTATTGTTATTCGTTTGTCACAGGGGAAGTATTTCCGCCTAGGGTAAGCACACACACAGCTGCTCCCGTATAGGAATCCGTACCATTCCGTAAGGGGATCACATTTCCCTGGCCAAGATCAGAGTTCAAATGCAGGCAGAAATATGTAAATGTAAATGCAGGGCGCTTGCCTCTTGCCTTTACCGCGTGTAGCAATAAAAACAAATCGAAAAGGTAAACCACTGCTAACCGATTTCCACTTCAATTTCGAGGCTGGGTCATAAACTTGCCAGCATATTATTGGCGTTGGTGAGTTCTGTAAGGGAATGGGTCACGAGCCGAGCTTGGCTAAGGCTAAATGCTTGTTAAAGGGCGGACTGGCAAAACCACAGAAACAAATCAGCCGGAGAGGAGCTTCAACTCCATTCCAAGCAAATTGGCAAATTCGATTTGCAATTTTTGTTGCGAGGGAGAGCAAGAGAGAAGCTCTGGGGCTGCTGGGTTGAGCAAACAATTTAGAATGAAGTGCAATCGGGAGTCAGAAAAGTTGATTTGCAATTTCATGGCAGCGCCAATTTGCACCTCATCATCATCATTATTATTATTCTGGCAGAGATCGGTTCTCTGGGTGATGATCTTTCAATCGTTCAATCAGGTAACTCCACCTCTGGGTAGGCACGTGCAGGTTGCAACCTGCAACCCGTAACCCGTAATCGGAGAAGGTGAAGGCGCAGGATGATCACCTCCTCGGGTTGTCCCACATATTTCTTGCTATCTCTACCGACAGAAACAAACTATTCGTATCATTTTTGGAATTTCACCGCAGCTGGCAGCAGGAAAAAACCAGGAAGTCTTCTGATGATGCTGATGCTGCTGCTGCTGCGGCTGCTGCAGCCTCCTGCAGCAAGTCGCCGCCGCAGCAATGAGAAAAATTTCGTTAGATAAATAATGCATATCTCACGCACTAGCTTCGCGGACCAAAGTTGAACTAAGGCTCATTTTTGCAGAGAGAGAAAAAAAGGGTTTTAAGGATTTTTAGAAAATTTTGTTAGCAACTAAAAAGGGTTTCAAAATATTTAAAAACTATAGAAATAATAGGCATTCTGATAGAAAATTAATTATTGTACAAAAAACTATTAATTCCGGATTAATAAGAGGTCCTGAAATGGTCCCATTGAGCAATTTTGCGCTATAATTCCCAAGTCATTAGTCAGAAAACGGTTTCTGATGAAGATATTTCTAATATTTATAATTTAACTCATTTAAAATCATGTTTTAATTCATGAGATTTCAAATAACTTTATTTTAAATACAAAATGTTTATATACAATTTTGTAAAAAATGTACTATTTTCTTTTTAAAATTTTTTTAATACTGTTTTTAATTTTAGGAACAATTATTAGGTGTATTGTTTACCTTTTTTTTTTAATTTTACGAGCATTTAGTATTATAGATTCATAATTTAAATAATTATTAAAACAAATTCCTATACATAAACCACTTCCCTTTAAAATTTCCTCTCACTGCACCGCCAAGTTGCTGCTTTTGGCCGTTTAATGAAGGCCTAGATCCGATGCCTTGGCCATAATAAGCAATGGCCCAGGCCAACAATGAAATCTTCGGCTCCACAGCCCAGGCCAATTTATGCGATGGCTTAAGTCTGGCTTTTCCGGCTGCGCTCTTTTCTTTAGCTTTTTCAGGCTGCCTTTTTGTGTGCACACACAGCCTCCCTTCTCGTGGCTGCGTGTTTCGATTTGGCGCGATTGCTTGCTTGGTTTAATTAAAGCCCTGAGCTCTCTACGCCGCCGAAAAGATTCATTAATGTTTGATTTTAGGTGCCTTTTTTCTATTTACTTATTTTCCCAAGATCAAGCGAGATTTACGCCAAATTGCCCGGTGCCCGAAGCCAGGCACCACCTTCTTTGCCTCCTATCTCAATTTCCTTTGACTGCTTTTCTTTTGCTTTCCTATAGCTTTTCTTTCTTTTCTGTTATACCAGTCAGTCGTCTTTGATGCCGCCTTGATAGACAGTCTTAAATTGGTTCATTAAATGCAACTGTTTGTTTTTAAAGGGGGAATTAAAAGTAAGGGGAGTTTGGGATAAATAAATAAATATTAGATACAGTTTTTTGAATTTCCAAAAATATTTTTATACATTTGGGGATCAGTGAGATCTTTATTTTAGGAGAAAATCGTTTTAATTTTGTAAAACCTGTAAAATTATATTATTTCCCAATATCATAGACCCTGCGAAATATAATTTAATAATATTTTTAAAGACAAATAAATATGATGCATTTAATAACGAGTGTTATTGGTCTCTAAGTACCATTTATAAGTAAAATTTCGATATTAAAACAACTAATCTTGGAAATAATAAAATTTGTCGATATTTTAGCAACCAAAAATCCTTATAAATCGATAAAAATCGCTGTCTTTTCAACACAAAACATGTTCCACATCAAAAAGAGAGGGAAATACTGCCAACCGGCTTTCCAAAACCATTTCATGTGAGACACCCTTGTGATCCCTACGATCTTGCCATGTTAATTAGCTTCTTAAAACATTAAACAAATGGCCCCCACATATGACTGCCCAGAAGAAAACCAATAATAATTCGATAATGACCAGGAAAAGCCACAGCTAGGGGGGAGTGGGAAATTACTGGAACCCTTACAATGTGCAACTCGTCGTCGCCCACGCGATGAAATTACCGCCCAAAAAGCTACGAGAAAATTCCTAAACAGGCAGAGCCCCCTGCCGCTTATTAATAACATTATTTATGACCTCTTACCACCTCCCCCGCGCCCAAAAACTGCCGCGTAAGCAAATTTATTAAACATTTGATAAAGCCCAGTTGGGCGGCCGCCCTTTGTTATTGTTTGTAAATGCCGAAGATTAATGGTTGAAAACATATGTTTACTTACATTTACATAGCACCAAATGGTTCAGCGACGTTTACACTTAATCTCACTCGTCACAGTTTATGGTTTAAGCTCATAGTTTAAGGGTTTTAAGCTAATTTTTACTTGCTAGCAGCAAACTAAATAGTTTTGTTGTTTATTTTTGCACTGAATGTGACCGTATGCAAAGGGGAGAAAAAATACCACCGAAAATGCGGCAAGGTGCGAAACATACTAAACAGCTGTTGGTGAGGCACAGTGGGGAGGACGCCATAAAATGGTCTTTCAAATTAAACAATTTAAAATTAATTGTTTAAAGTTTATGTTGAAATATATTTTTTTTTATAATTTTAAAAGTTTCTTTATATATTTCCTATAATTCAAAGCGGTTTTTTTCTAAACAAAATTATTATTTTACGTTAAATAAATTTTTTATACCTGATACGTATAATTTTAGATAAATTAGACCAAAATATGCACTGAATGCATTACCCTTACATACGAATGCTTCAAATAAACAATATATTTATTAATTTAAAAGATTGTTTAATGGTTTTACTTTGACAAAATTATATTTTTTCTTTATAATAATTCCTAATAAAGTCCTATTAAATAAATTAACCAAAATAACTAAATACATTAATTTTAAATAAATATTTTCATTCCCCATTTCTGTGTAAATTGCGTTTATATTTGATTTTGAATAATAGCTTTGAAAGTAATAAATAACAACAGCTGGGGTAAGGTATAAATAAAGTTAAAAGTGCCGCTGGATTAGTACTTCTACATGGCCTCTACCAACATCAGAAGTTCTTCTTTTAAATAATTTAACTCGGTCTGGCCAACAGCAGAGACACCATTTGCACGAAACAGCAAAAGGGTGCTGGGAATGAGTCTGTAAATAATATAAATTAGTTAATAAACAATTTTACATTTATTTGTAATACTTACTTGCAGTCAAATAGTGACTTTTCCAAGTCTTCATCGCTCAGCTTGCCCTCGCTGGTTGCCACCAGGGTGAAATCGAGACTCTCGTCGGCCAGGCAAGATTGCACGAACTCAAACACATCGGTGATTTTCTCGAAAACATTGAAAGTTCCCTGGAAAATTGATAAGTCTTGTTTACACAACTTTTCCATGAATTGCATCATCTAGCGAAGGAGCTTACTTGTATGAAGAGTCCGTTGGGAAATTTAACCCTGACCAAAGCGTAGCGATACATGCGCAGATTGCGCTGCTCCTCGCGCTCCCTCATGGCTTTGGTCCTCAGCATTTGGGCCTGGGCAATAGCCTCCGAGCGCAGCTGCTGCTCCTTTTTGATCTCCTCCGGTGACAAGCGATAAAAGTCATCGGGTAGGATAACTCTTCGTGCCTGCGAAGGCAGCAGAACCTTTATATTCCTGTCCAGCTCCAGGGGAATCGTCTCCGAGTTCTTTAACGCCTCCACCAGGGTGGGCAAGTCGAGATCCTCTTCCGTTTGCTCTCGGGTCCACAACAAAAACGGCTCACCATCGATCTGGACCTCGCTGAAGCCAGCTGCCTGCAGGACATCCAAGGCACCCTCCACATAACGCACCTTGTCGCTAAAGATCTTGTTGGACATGCGTATCTTGCAGAACTTCTCCTCGGTGGGACTATTGATGAGGTTCTCCAAATACCGAATGAGCGTGGCAATGCAATCGTCTGCCTTCTCCTTGACATTGCAATTGTGAATGATAAGGCAGGCGGTGAGGCCACGATCTTCCTCCAGCTGCTGGTAGAGGAAGTCCTTGATCTTGGCCTTCCACGCCGCTTTGGGTAGAATTTCATCACTGATCATGGGGCAACGGAAGAAGACACCCTCGCAGGCCAGGTTGCGATTCTCGCCGCCTGTACATCTGACGTTCGAAGCTGAGGCCTCTGCACTTGCCAGCTGCTCCTCTTTCTGGCGCCGTTCTGCTTCGAGTTCCCGCTTGGCCTGAGCCTTCACCGCCGACAGCGAGGTATTGAAATCCCGCGAGGTTTTCTTATCAATGCGTGCGAGTGCCGCATTGGCAGCTTGCCTGGCTTCGTTGCTCAACTCATTACGCTTGGGTGGAACATAGGCATCGTATTTTTTCCGAGAACCAGAACCGGAGGGTGCTGCTTGCTCTGGCTTGGGGGCATTCAGCTTGTGGCCCTCGCCCATGCCGCTGCCGGTGAGCTTTTGCTGGAAGGGGTCTTGTTTAGTAAGGGTTTTTGGAAAGGTTTATACAAAAAACTCACCTTAAAGGCCGCCGCCTCCTCCTTCTTGCGACTGAAGAACTTCTTGATCTTGGACATGTCTAGCTTAAATACGTGGCGAGTGTTCCTTGGGCAACTTTAACTTGGCCACCGACAATTTAAGTTCTTCGATTTCCTTAAGAGTGCCTGTGGATAAGAAAGTTAGTTATTATTAACTTTCCTACCAAGAAACGTTGCAGTTTTTTGCGTCCTACTTGGCCTCACAAACTTCTCAGTGATGACCTGGCCGTAAACAGACCACGAATAACCAATGAGTACACAAGTTCCTAGAAGCAGGACGAGCAGGACCTTTAGTAGCGTTGCCTGCAGATCCGTGAAGGCTATGGGGCCGTTCTGCCAGTCAAAATCACCCGTCAATGACTCGAATTTGCTTCGCAAATCGACAGCCGCTTGAAGTGCAACACCAGCAAAGAGCTCCACGCGTTCGGCTAGCGTCTGCAGAGTTGTGTTCAGGGAATCCACGTTGATATGGAAAGTCATTGGCCTGACGAAAGACTCGGACGTTGAAGAATAAACGTTTTTTCTAGCTTTTCTTTGTTTATATCTGCAGCATCGTCATTTGATAATTTTTTTTTATTAATTTTTATGGTTAGTGTGACCGAAAAAGCCTAGCAGACTATATTGATAGGGTTTTGCCTTAAGCAGCTACTGGTCACATTTTAATCGATAGGCGCTGTCATACTGTAGTGTTGGTAAACGTGGATGCAACTAGCGCCAGATTTGAATTTGAGATAACGTTTTCTGTAATGTTTTAGGGGCCTGACCTCGTTTGGATTACCTTGATTTTTGCACGTGCATCCTGTTTATCATTGGGGGAGCTGTGTTTGACCTTATTGAGTGGCTTTAGGCTTATTAAACATTGCACAGAAAATTATTATTTATACTTTTTCAAGGAGATTTTGTTTTTTATTTAAAATAATAATAATACAAATTTTAAATTAATTGTAAAACTGAAAGTAAGAATATTACTCATGATAATATAAGGAAAGGTTTAGTTAAAGCAGAAAAGAGGAAAATTCTTGCTTTGATTTTTAATAGCTTGTAAAGGTTTTAAAATTTAAAAAAGGACATTCTGTTAATTTTTAAATTCTTATTCATCTAATTAAATTTAAATTATAATAAAATATTTTATGAAAAATAAGAAACCAAAGGCTTTTCCTCTAAATTCCCTTTATTTTCCGTTTAATATTTTACAGCTTCTCTTCTCTTCCTTTTATATTTAAAATATATACCAATTTCAAATGCAAATCAGTATGAGTAACGATCTCATTTTTCACCGTGTGATTACATAATTATTATTGTTTTTTTTCGGGTAACCCACACGCCCATTATTTATATGCAAGGGCTCCCTCCCCGGCAGCTGTCGTAATTGAATGATTTTCGATCGTTTCGGCAAGTGCTTTTGCTTCCTGTAATTTTCGGCGATTTAGGCTGCCTTCGTTCGTTCCCTTGACTTGTCTTTCGCCTTGCCAATTGATTTTCGATCCTTGAGCTGAAGAGGATCTCTCTCTCCAGCTCCAGCTCCATCTCCATTGCCATTACCCATCTCCATCTCCAGGCGGAGAGATCACGCTCCAGTGATGCGATGCGGGCGCCCGGGGTTGGTCTTGGTAGTAGTTGGGTTCAACAGCCAAGAAGCAGCACCGAAAGAGAAATCTCTTGCAGCTTATGGCTTCCGTATGGGCCATGCCTCGCGCTCCACTGGCTGAGCAGCGTCGTCGTCTTGGTCTCCGCTGGCTGTTTTTCTTGCTGGGGCCTTCAGTTTACGTTTTTGTGGCTTTTTCTGGCTTTCTGCAACTTCAATTACACCAGACAGACACAAACAGATACAAATGTCTATTCTATTTCGCTTTGGTTTATTTATGCTGGCTCATTTTTCTCGGCGACGACGGCGGCAACGACGGCGGCTAGGCAAAATGTCGACGACTTATAATTCGAGCAGCGTGTAAGAAAGATTTTCCCCCGCTTCTCGTTCTGCTCTCTGCGGTCCGTTTGTTTTTGCCAGCCATCGCAATCAGCGGTGGCTCCAAGGCGTGGCGTAGCTACGCTGCTGCTGGAGCACAGCAGTATCCCGATCTTTCCCAGCTCTCGGGCTCAGACCAGCCGCCTGTCCATGGCCATTATATCTATCACCATCACGCGATATGTTCTCACTTGCAGTGAACCTCCAAGTGCCCATCATTCAAAGTCATTTCAAGACACACAAAGAAATTAGAGCGAAGAGCAAGTTGTTACTTGTATCTTTAAGATATGGATAGATAGATGTCAATAGATCTTTAAGATGTAGATAGAGATATATCTTAATTTTTGAATTAGAACAGATACAAGGTTATTAAGAAATTTGCATTAAAAAGGCAAGGATTTTAAGATAAATCTGAGATATATTATAAACTATATGTCAAAGCTGCTTTAATTTTATTTTTCCCAATAATTTTACCTTTTAAATGGTTAATTGAATCCTTAAAAATTATAATTTACATCTTAAATTTAATGAAATTCTTTAATTGAAATAAAATTATATGAGTTTTTCCTAAATAAATTCTTATTTCTCACATCATCTCAAATTTCCCTTTAGAAAAATGGACCCTCTTTTCATTATAATATTTTTTTTCCTGGTGCAGAACCCATCGGTTGCAATTGCAGCTCAACTTCTCGACTGTTTTTTGCGCAATTAAAATTCCACAAATGCTTTTCAGAGGGCAGAAGGGGATTTCTGCGCACCCCAGAGCCAGCCAAGGAATGCAAGACTGGCGCGCATGCGCCGGAGTCCACAGTCCACGGTCCGTGCAGTCCATCGTCGCGTTTGCAATTGTTGTTATCAGCCATGCGCCGAACCTGAAAAACTAGTTTCGATTGCCAGCTGAAGACAGAGGCGGTGTGTGGCCAATGCTCAGCGAAAAACTTGGAGAAGAAGAGGAGGAAGAGGTGAGGAAGAAACTGGAGAAATGGGTAGTCCTTCAGGTCCTGGGGTATGATGGGATCTAGGGAAGCAGCAGCGGGAGATTATAACTTAAAGATTTCAAGTGGTTGAGGTATTTTTATAGTATTATTACCTTTAAAAATACTTTTTAATTTATAAATAAATATTTTTAAAAATATTTTAGTAAGAAATAAACTCTTAAAAATATTATTTAATTTTTTAAAACTTAATACATTTATTATTTAATATTTTAAGATAGAAATTTATATTTAAAATAAATATTTTCCTCTCACAAAGTCACAAAAAGAGGATACTCTCCTTGTCTAACATTTAAATTTATAAATAAATATTTTAAATAATCTTTAGACATGGATATAAATTCTAAAAATTATTATTTTAACTCTTTAAAATTAAAAACATTTATTATATTATATTTTAAATTAGAAATCCTAATTTAAAATAATTATTTTAAATTCATAAATTCAAAAAAGAGGGATACTCCCCTTGTCTTTACCTAACATTATCCACATTCCTTTCTGGCATGCTTTCTGTGCGAATTTCATGGTTGGGAAAGCCAGTAAAAGCCTCCTCTCAGTGCCTCCTCGGCGCTTTTCTTTTGTTTTCTCTTTAGTTTTTTTTTTTTTCTCTTACCCCCAAAAACTGGTTGTGCCAATTTATGGCCAACATAGCCGTGACTTTGTTCAGAGTTTTGCGAAAGTCAAGGTAAAAGACACTGACTGCGGAAAGGGTTTCCCTTCGTTTCCTTTTCTGATTGCATTTTTTACTTATTTTCTTTCTGCTGAGTCTTCAATTGATAGTGTCTTGATTAAGGAGCATGACAGAGGAGGAGGTGGAAGAGAAAACTGGCGCGCTCATTAAAATTTATGCGCAGGAAACGGAAGCGCGGCAGACGACCAGCAGACGCACACACACGAGTCGCCTGTCTCTCTAGGCCTCCTCCTTGGATCCTCCTTGGGCAGCCAAGGAAACTCCCCTCTGTAGCCTCTACTTCAATCGCTTTGTGCCACAATCTTTGGCTATGCCAGCGGCGTGACAAACAGGCAGAAAGTGTCACTCAAATTGGCCGCAAAATTGAAAGTGATGACACGCCCACACAGTCACGTTGCCTTGCATAAGCAATTGGATGGATGGGACAGGCACTGAATATGGGGGGAGGAGTAGGGTCTTGGAGGAGTTTATAGTGTGGGCACTGGGAGAAAACTATTTTGGGTTTTTAAAAATATAATTTATTACAGAAGAAATGCAAGTTTAAAGAGGCAGAAGAAGCTACTGAAGAGGGTTTTTTTGAAACTTCAGAAAAATCTATTATAACTGCAGAATGAGTTTGCCTTTAAAGTTCATTGGTTTCTTATATAAAAAATAATTTTTACAAATAGTTATTAACTCAAAAAAATATTCTTTTCCAATTTCATAAACCAAAAACTATGCTAATATGAAAATTTTATGTTTTGAGAAAGGCACAAATAATGATAAATATTTACTCTAAATAATATTGATATTTTAACATTAATAGCAATACTTTAAGATACTTTAAATAATGATATATTCAACTATATTTTTTATAGATTTTATTTATTATTTTCCAGTGTCTCAGGGTCTTCCCATCTTGATTAAACCGCTGTAAACAAGGAGCGAATCATGAATGGAGCAAACGCATTAATTATCGTATTCATTCCTCTCACTTGTATCTATTAGATGAGCTGCACTTGTGCCCTGCTGGAACTTATCCCCCCGCCTGTATCTGTATCTACATATATCCATGAAAAACCCTTGGCCCTTCGCCGGGGGAGTTCTTCACACGAAGTTCGTTCCCATGAACTTGTTCTGCTTTTCTAGACCGCCAGCGCACATTCTCCCATGAATCTATCTCTATATCTGTAGCTGTATCTGTATCTGTATCTTACTGTGTGGGTCTGCGCAATGGCAATGACAGTTTCTTCTGTGAGACTTTTTTTTGTTCAGTTTTGTCTTTTGGCTGAGCATTTCCCTCAAGAAACAAATGCTTCACACACAGCTTTTCCAGCTCTTGAGCGTGGGAGTGAGAACCGAAAAACAAAACACAAAAAATAAATGAAAACAGGCAGAAATCCGAGCCACTGGTAGCTTCAAGTGCTCTTGAATTCGCTGAGAAGTCAGATATTTCCTAAAACTTTAAGGCCGGAAGTCGCCAAATGTGAGAGAGTAAGCCCAATGGGTGGCCTTAACTCAAGTTTTTAAACAATTCTACAAAGTTATTAGATTCTTTTTGAAGTAAATTTCTCGTATAATCCAGGCTTAACCCGCTGAGTACCGCCTGAAGCTTATAGCAAGAGATTTTTTTATTTACCAATTCTCCAAAGGCAATTTTCACCTAGGGGTCTCGGGTCTCCTCTATTCTAAAGACACCTTATTTGGCCTGTAGATACTTTATGGCATCCGCTTTTCATTCAATCCCTTTAGTGAGTCACCTGTAGGGGAAAAGCGTGGGCCATAATGATGGGTTTTCCATCCATTAGTGTTTCCTATCGATCGGTTTTGGTATATAAATTCAGTTTCTGTGATGCTGTTTGAGGCTGAGGCTGAGGCTGAGATGTTTAGCATATTTCTTTTTGGGGGGACTGAAGAACAAACAAACAACAAGTGGCTATCCCCACACACAGCTTTGTGTGTGGCAACCCAAACCAACCATATTTTCCTCTATATATTTTCAGAGTTCTTTTTTTTTCTGTTGATTCACTTCATTTGTTTATGCAGACGGAGTGAGAGTTTCGTGGGAAATATTGCGCCAGGGAACAGGCAATGAACTAATTAAAAAATATAACAGCGAAGTTATAGAGGGTTCTTAGGGGGTTATAGAGAGTTCATCCTATAGAGGTTCTTCCTGTGCTGAGCCACTCGAAGCGGGGATATTTTTGGCCTAGTCATTCCCTACCCAAAATTCAATTAAGGCGCCGCCGGAAAAGAAGAAAATCAAAAAGATCTGAAAAGCGGAAAAGCAGCATTTCAACAAATTGGCAAAGAGAACTACTCCAAGTCAGACTTCAACTACGATCCCGAAGCCCGGTAGCTGGTATTATTGTGCGGTCTTTGTGGCATTGTGTCGGTTTTGGATTGGTCTATCCGTCGTCCGGCTTCCGTTTTGCTGTGTCCACTTCCGTCCGTTTTTATTGTTTTCGCACCTCGCCTTCCGTTCGTTCGTTCGGTTGGTTTGCCTTCCTCTAAGCGGATATTCTACTTTACATAAGCGGCATTTCCTCAATTTTCCCGGTCTTTGTGGCGATTTATTATTAGTTTTACTTTTTGTTTTGATCACTGCATTCGCATCGCTGCAGGTTTGATATAGTAAAGCCGTATGATGGATCCAATGGAAACTCTATAATGACAGACGCCTCAAAGGAAGTAGTCAGCTCATTAGAGTAAAGATACTCCAGGCTATGGGGATGTAGCACAGTTCCACTTAGAGGTATTTCTTTGGGGATAAAAATAAATAAACGAAGATATAGTTAACTTTATAAAATATAAGTTTAAATATAATACAAATCTATAAAGAAGCTAAGAGGAGATCAGGTTTGAAGGGAAAGGTGTAAACATATATCAAGAGGATATCAAATTCTTTTAAAAGTATTATATTTTTATAGTAAAACCCAACCTTTTATTACATAGTTCTCTGCTGTTTAAAATATCTAAAAATTCAAGGAATTCCCCTGGGTTTCAAAACACCCTTTTCCAAACTACAAAGGCGTCAGCTGTTGGACATGAGCCTGGTCTGTAGATGTGCATCTTCTGGTTTACCGTGTGGACTGTGCCCCTTGTCGTGGCATGTGTCAGGTTGCGACATCTGTTTGTGCCTGATCTGTTTCTGTTTGGGTTTGAGTTCGGCTTTTCATATGTGTGTATATTTTTATTTGTGTTTTACAAGGTAAGCGGGCCGGGTCTCTGGCTCATTTGTCTCACTTCCTTTTGTGGCAGAGCCACAGTCACATCCGTAGGCACATCCCGGATGCTTCCCTGAAAAGTGAACTGAAAACTGAACCCAAAAACCCCAACTGCAGCCGAACTGCAAAACTTACAGATACGCAGCAAAAAAGCAAAAGAGCAGCAAGCGCCGCTGTATCTCTGTATCTGTATCTGTGTATCTATGCAGCTGCCGCTCTGTTCATTCATAGAAGACACAAATAAAATAGAGAGAAGGGAAAAAAAAAGTACTATGAACCCAAACCCAAAACCAAAATGAAATGAGCGGATGCACGGGCGGATGGAGCGCTTTGAATTTGTATATTTTCCATCGCCACATCCCACACACGGATGTATCTTTGTATCTATCCGGGTTCTATTTGACTACCGATGCTGATTATCGTTATCCGTTATTGTTATTGCTATTGTTATTGCCATTGTCATAATTGTTCTGTTTGCTGCGTTTTTTTTTTTGCAATGGGGAAATTTTCGGTTTCAACACGAATAGATTGTGGGTACCTCTCCCTTGATTTGGTTGTTCTTTTTTTTTTTTTGAGGGTTTTGTTTTCTGGTTAGCAACAAAAAAGCTCTCTTAAATTGTTGTCTTTTTTGGCTATATAAAAAGCAAAGGTTTTTTGTGATTTATTTGGGAACTTTCTATACTAGATATCTACAAAATGTACTAAGAATTTCCCCCAATTACCCCTTAAGTAACTCCCGTTTTCCCCCCAAAATACTACTATATTTACAAATATTTAATTTAATTTGTTTACTAGGAAGTGTCTTCAGTCTCCCCCTAAAAAGTAAACTGGGTTAGGAATTTCCCCTCCCCTCCTATTTAATTTCCCCCTAAATTGTACTATGAAGTAACTCTAGTTTCCCCAAAAACTGTCCAAGGTTTTCATGGATTTCTCCCCCAATTTTCCTCTATTTACTGTAAAGCAACTTCAGTTTTCCCTCATTAATCACACAGACGAGAAAAGTCTTTGGAAAATAAACACTTTCGGGTTGATCTATGTATGACCAGGGCCTAAACAAATGTTAGCATTAACTTCTGGCCAAGAATAACAAAGAGTTTATTGCACTTGTCTTGGTGTGTCTGTGTGTAAGTATATATATATATCTAGTTTTTTTACAGAGTCGGAGGCATTTGTTGGGACTTAATGATGTGCTAATTGGGCAAGCGTATTTCACTTGTCAATGCCAGAGTTTGTTGGGGAGAATTGTGAAAGACATAAACAGAACATTAAGTTTAAGAAAGAGAGCGGAATTGCTCAAAACCCGTGCGGGGTCTTCTTATGGGGATTACCCAAAAAAGTTGTCTTAGAGATCAGAGAGTAGGGTAACCTTTAACCGAAATACTAGTAGAGTAATGAGTGGGGAAAAATATGTAGGGAAATTTGGGAAGAGGTTTAAAGTTAACTCTATTTCAGCCTTCTAAAACCCATTAAAACCACACACCTTTGTTCATTTATAAAATTTCATTTTATATATTTTCCATCAAATGCATACTTAAACAACTAATAGGACAGCATTTTAACTTCACTCTTGGTTATGCTCATTATATACCAGCTTCTCCTTCGTTCCAAAAATTCAATTTAAAATATAGAAACATATTTGAGAGCTTATCTTTGACAACATTGAAATGCAGGATACTATGACTAAGACTTAAACAAAGAGAGCTCTAAGGACTAGGCTTTACAACTACAAAAACTAAGCTAAAATTAATCTAAAATCCTAGAGATATATACAACCAGTGGGGGGAAGGGAGGAGTATCCCTACGAGAGCAGGGCCATGGCCCTGGCCAGTCGCACTCGAAAGTCCCGGTAGAGCATCTTGCCACCAACAGGAACGCGGCACAGGTACATGTCCAGGCTCATCAGGCACAAGGCCTTGCCATTCATGGGGAATTTCTGGGGCAGCTCGGCGGTGACCTCCAGACCCTCGGACACAGCCATGTTTATCAGCCACTTCCATACATCCGCTCGCGTCCAGTCACGAGGATCCAAGGGCAGGCCATCAGAGCCCATGGGATGATGTATCAAGGTACTGCCATCCTCCAGCAGACGGTTGTTGTTGTCATCGGAGGAGGAGGTGTTGGTTGCTGAGGAGGCGCTTATCAGAGTCACACCGCCACGACACTTGTCCAGCATTTGGTAGGGATGATGCAGGTGTCGCTTGGCCGAAGGAGTACTTCCTCCACTCCACAAATCCTGACCAGCATTCACCTGGGACAAATCCAGGGGCGGCACACGTCCGGCGTATTTCGGGTAGCTCGATTCCACTTGCATTGTGATACTGAAACACCAGAGAGAGAGAGAGAGGGAAACGCTGATTAATATAAAAGTACTATATATGTGACTCATGGCGGAGAGGTTAGTGCAACGGAAGTGCTTTCACAAGCCAGCAATTGTTTTAATCGCAAAAACAGCAATGGAAAAAAAAAACACAAAAACAAAAGCAACTGTAAGCATATTAAATACAAATAATAATACGCATACGCCGCATTGTACGGCATCATAAGTGTGTTGTTGACCTGATCTCTATAATGACTATAGGGTATGTCCGATTAGTCACAAGGTGTGTTTTGTTTGTATTTATAGGATTTTTCAAGATTTTTGTAATAGAAAATAGTTATTTAAAATTGAAAATTAAAGCTTGTCCGTTTGTCCGTCTTTATAAATGTCCGTTAAGGAGAATAAACCCCTAGATCTCAAAAAGTATAAAAGCTAGTCTTATCAAATTTGGTATCAGCATAGTTTTTGGTTCTATAAAAATATATATAGTTTTAAAATTTGTCCACTCCTTCCACTGAACAAAAAAATCATCAAAAACTCTTTTTAAAAAATAAATAAAAATGTCAAAAACAGAAATCTTTCTAAAATAGTTTCAAAAATCATTTAAAATTAAGGCATAATTATTTTTTTCGCCTTTTTAAATATCAATTGCACTTAAAGAGTATCCAAAATTCTTTAAATATTTCCAAAAAACATATTTTTTTGAATTTATATTTTGTTATTAAATCTGACCTTGTTGCCGGCGGAATGGGCGGATCGTTAGCGGATCGAGGCGGGGCACACGCGAAAGGAAGCGCTGAATAATCATTACTCGCGCGCTGTCATATCGATCGGCGGTCATATTCTGTTGGAGATTGGAGGGAATCAGGGGATCTGGTGGGAGATCGGTTGATCAAGGGGGAAATCGGCATGTGGCTGACATAGAAACACAGGCCAAGCCGCCGATTACGATTACAAACAAAGCGGGGAACAGGTCAAAAGCAGAGCGGAGCGGAAATAATTACCAGCCCAATTGGCAGCTGCGAATGTGCTGAGCAAAACAAAGAACCCACCAAATGGGAACCGGGGGCAAAAAATAAAAAAAAAAAACACAGCACAGCACAACAAGCGAAACATCCGCCGACGGATCATAAAAGGTGTCAATGCGAATGTGGGTAAGAATGGGAATGGAAATGGGAATGACAGCGGAAGCCCCGGGCTGCGATTTCAAGCCTCGCCAAAAGGGAACCTTTAATAGTTTTCCGGAATAAAACTTGAACGGGGCTTCCGCTCAAGGAAATGCGTAAGGAGTCAAGAGTCTCCGGCAGCAGTTTTAATTACACAGTTCGTTGCCATTAAATGGCATTCAAAATTCCCACGAATTATAATCAAGTTCGGGGTAGTCTTCCCTAGATTGTATCGAAAAATTTGAGATTTTTATGTCAGAGATATTAAAATTTCAAGGCTTATGGAATGAGAGCCTGAAACTGAACCAGGTTGCTCCTTTTTAAGTGATGTTTCTCGAAAGTAAGATTGATTTTTAATAAAATTTTATAGTTTAAAAATCTTATATATATATATTTTTTATACATATATTCACATTTGTTTACTATAATTTTAAACCTATTTTTTTTTAAGAACATATAGCATACCTAAGGACTTATCTAAGGTTTTCCCTCTTAAAACTCAAAGATTAACAAGCTTAGTTTTTAAGTGCCTTGGTTAAACCACTCCCAGAACTCACACTTATCTCTTTTTATAACCAAAACAGAGTGCAGTTGAATATAAAATTTATTCTCCTATCACATATTCAACCTAAAATTCAACTAAAAGACAAAAGTCATCCCCCGCCTTTTGTGGTATTAAAACCCAAAGGGTGAGGGTGACTCATGCTAACGGATGCCATAAACTTAAACGAAGACCCAGTAAAGCGACATTTTAGACACCATTAGAAGGGAAATAACAAATCCCTCAAAAGAGAAGAGTTCTTCCCCCCTGATGGGAGAATGACCCATTAAGAATTTTCTCCAAGTTCTAAGCAATCTTCGGGCGGCCCTCAGCGGGCGAACTACATAATTGTGGTTGGTTGTGCCCTGTGAATTCAATTATTTCATTTCAATTTCAATTTTTAAATGGAAAATAAGGGGTAAAGAGGGAAACTACCCATGGGGGGCAAGTACACTAAGAGAAAGGGGTGGGGAATACCATGAGAATATAAAATTTAAAAGAGAGAAATATATGTTTTGAATTTATTATCAGTAAATAATAAGATAAAAATAATAAATAAATATTAAACAAAGCAAAAATTGATAAAGAAAGTAATAAATCAAGAAATTTGATCGATTTTCAGAAAGATATCTTCCTTATATATTTATAAATAACTGCTTATTAAATGATAATTCATGGTTTTGATAAGAAAAATACAAAAAATATTTAAAATCATTTTTGAATAATACAAAATATTTATTTTTAATATAAAATAAATGACACATTATATTTTACACATTTTTCTCTCTGTACTTTAACTTCCGCCTGTTTTAGAAGCCAATGAAAACACTTGAAGTACATTTGGGGTTTCCCACTCCCACGTTTTGAAGGGAAAAGCGTGTGAAAAGCAAAGCATTTTGCCAAATGGAACTCCATCTGTGGGGCTTCTGTACTGATCAGTGATCATGCTGACTTCAAGCCTGTTTCATATTGAATAATAATCTATAAATATATATTTTTATATATAGAAAATAGATATGGCATTGACATTCAATCTCAGACAAATAGATAACTCGTGCCCAGCACGCGTTGCCTTTGTTTTTCACGCTTGTGTGCGTGAAAAAGGAAAAGGGAAATGGAAATGGGAAGTGGGAAATGCGCTTGGTTTTCAGTTACTATTCGGTGGACAAAAGTCAATGGCAGGAAGTGCAACGTCCGCCTGCACACAACACAACACACAACACACACAGGATGCGCATCCCCCGTTCGTAATTCGTTATTTCATTCCTTTTCTGTTTCAAGGAAATGCCCCTGTAGAAAATAAATGAGGAAATGCGCCACAGTTTTAATTACATTCACGAAAAAATATATATGTATATGCGAGTCTTCGTGCTACTTAGTAGCTGCCACTAAGCCCCAAAGAGAACTTTAAGTGTGCAAAAAAGACAAGGCAACACGAACGTAAAAAATCGTAATTTGAAGTTCGTAAAAATGACGCGTTTCCTGTCATTTGGCGAGCACTTTAAGTGCGTAATTTGCTATCCGCCAAATATATGTGTGATTCTCCGGAGTCTTCCAGTGTCTTGAGTGTCGAGTGTTGAGTGTGTAGTGTGTGTATCTTGTCTGTTTTTGTCGGCCGTCAGTCTGTCCGTTTGCCGGGTGTTTATGCCCCACAATTTCCTCTTTCTCCAGGGGATGCTGAGGCGACGACCCACCGCGTTTCATCTTTCTGAGCGGCTTCCGTTTTGCCGAAACGGATTCGGTTTGGGTTTTGGTTTGAGATTGGGATTCTTCTGCTGCCAGCTCTGTGGCCAAGGTTGACATGATGACAGCTCTCCATAAATAGGAATTTATTAAACAACAAATTATATATAATTTTCTAGATATTTTTGGAAGATGAGACGAGCAAAGGTTAGGCTAAATTTTGGTTAATAAAAAGTAAAGGAGGTAAGGATAACTTTCGTGCTAAAAATTTAAGAAATACTTTAAGAAATTTTGGGTATAATTAAATGTTAAAGATTATATGTAAAACTATTCAGAAATTAAAAAATAATCATCCAAAAATACCTTTGTTTCCCCCATTTACTAATTAAAATATCTTTTAATATTTCCCTTTAACTAGATTATAGAAAACTCTTGCCTTAAGCTATATAAGCACCATATCTAGTGTAATTTTTTTTGTCTTTAATGATCATTGTTGGTTAACTTTTGTATGACTCTCCGTTTCTTATTTTCTTGGCCATCTTTCAAGGCAATAAACTCGTTCGTTCGTTCATTCATTGGAGACTGCACTGGCGGCAGCAGGCGACAGATGATAATCTGCTGAATATTGTTAAAAATAAACTTAGACGGACAGCAACCGAACCGGATTCCATTTATGCACATGCTCTGCTCTTGTAGTTGTTTTTCTCTTTTTTTTCTGGCTTTTGCTGTTGTTGTTGTGACGTATGTTTGCTGATATTACAAATCATGTAACGCCATCGAGGCAGCGAAAATGCGAAAATGCATCGTCTGCCTGACGTCTGCTAGCGCTGTCTCTGTTACGCTGTCGCGCCATCTCTGTTTGTCCAACAAAAAAAAAAATAGTCCCATTCATCATTTCCCCCCTAAAGACACTGAGAGAAAAAAAAATGAAATTTTAAAGAATTTGTTTTAAAAGAAAACTTAAAAAAAGCCATAAGAAAACTATAATTGTGTGAGTTTACTTCTTCAAAAAATATAATGTTTACTATAATATTTATTTAAACTTAAATTTGTAAACTTTATTTAATTAACATTATTATTTTTTATTTAATTATATTTTTAATTATTTTCTAATATTTTTTTAATAATAATTAAAACCTTTATTTAATTGTTTTCATTATTTTCTTTGTAATTCTATTTACTTCTTTTAAATTTCTTTTATTTCCTTTTACCCTTATATTTTCTTTCAGTGCCCTATGGCCCCCAATGTGTGATGGACGGATGTGTGACGACTTTCGGTCTTGTTGTCGCTGATGCGTTTTAAAAATATAAGTACGGCGTCGGCCAAATGGCGCCAAATGCATTTCGAATCGGTCTTTTTGGGTCTTGTTCTTGTCAAATGTAAATTCAAATGAAAGAAACTACAAATAGGAAAGTGGAAGGAGGAAATATATATACCCAGTTCGATCCTAGCACGTGTCTAGCAAAAGCTCATTGCTCCACTCGCCCTTTGGTCAGCAGGAAGTGGCTCCTTCTTTCTTTGGAACTCCAACAAATTGCTTATCAAAGTTTTGCCACAGTCAGAGGTTTGTCATTTCCTTTTTGCTCCAAAGAAACCGAGCAAGCTGAGTCAGCTGGGAAAAATTAATTAAGCGGGCGAGGCCAGGTGCAGCTGGCAGCGATCCTGCAGCTGCAAAGATTACACAGAGAAAAGAACCCCCATCCGACACATCCTTTGCGCATGCGCGCGCATTTACTCAGGAGCGAAAAGGCAGAACAACAGAATAACCGAGAAACAGGGCAATAACTACTTTGTCCTGGTGAAGCCACCATGAAATCCAACAGAATGCATCTTTATCGGACTTGGCCACAAAATTTCAGTTCGGTTTTTGTTTTGCAGCTGCCGTCTTGGCATTTTAAGTGTGGCTTTTGTTAGGACACTTGGAGAAAATTTCGAGGGTTCTGTTTTGGGGTTCTAAGTGAGGGAAATATCAACTTAAGATGCTTTTTAATGAGCAGAAAATGTTTAAATAATTTTATAAAATATTTTAAGATTTTCTATATTTATTTTTGGATTTTATAAGAGCAGGTCTTAAGGTTTCTTCTAGTTCTCATTAAAAATTTTTAATTTAGAATTCATTTCTCAACAAACCAGAGTTTCTTTCAGTGTTTTAGCCTTTGCGGTTGCCTCAATTGTATATATTTTTTAAACCAAAAGGTAATTTTAACCAGTTCCCTTGACTACAAACACATTCTCCCTTGACTAAGCCAAACTTAACAACCAATTCAGCTGGAAAAACTCTTCATTAACTTTCAATTTGCTGGCAACTACAACCCAGTTTCGTTACTTGACTGGGCTTTATAAAGGAAAACACAAGTTTTGGAGGTCAATTAGCCAGAGTCACATCAAAACAGACAGACTGAAAGACAGACTGAGAGACTGTTGGAATGCAAGACAGCTACTACGACTACTAAAAGCCAAGTCAACTTTAAAAAACCTTCGGTATGATTTTCGACTCTGCTAGTGTTAATGAGGGCCATAAAGAAAAAAAATATATATACATATATAGTATGTAAACCGACTTACCTTGATCGAAAATATGTTAATCCAACACTTGTATTTGTGTCTTGCGAATCTCCCCTCGAGGTTGTGAGACGTTTGGAAAAATTGTATATAAAATTGGATTACCAAATTTTATAATCTTTTGCAAAATTTGTTTAGATTTTTGTGGCTTTTGGTTTTATTTTCAGGTTTTAATTTGCTTTTGCAAAATGCACTTTTGTCGGTAGTTTTTATTCCGTTCGCTCTCTCTAGCTCTCTATTGCTCTATTGTGTATCTCTCGGATACGTTTCACAATGTTTCGCAGCTAGTAACGTATTTTTCACGCTCTGAACTACTTTTCTACTATTTCGAGTTTTGAAAGTTTCGCTGCAATTGGCTATGTTTTTTTCACTTAACGCGGGAATTGTTTGGATTTCGTTTTCTGTTGTTGTTTTTTTTTGGGTGGCAAATCCAGTTTGCCAGTTGCACTGCGAAATGTATCTTCGTGGCCTGGCGGATGAGTGAGTAATGCGACGACGACGCACACTGCAAGAGTATCTCTATCTGACGACTGACTACTGAGTATCTGTATCTGTAGCTCCGCGCAATCCACGTTCTCAACTGATTGCGATCGTGCCCGTGCAGCGGGTTTTGTTGCTGCTGAATCTCTCTCTCGTGGGTTTCCCTCGTTCTCTCTCTGCGCATGCTCTCTTTCAGGGTTTCTCTCACGTTTTCCTGCGGTTTCTCTCAGCTGTTTTGGGTCGACAGCTGTGGACACATTCGTAGAGATCTGAAAGACCTAAAAGGTACTGAAAGAAATAAGGATTATTACTAGCTAAAATTGTCATAAAAAGGTCATAAATTTAATATAAACTAAATTTTTTGTATCTATTAATTTTTGAATAATGTTGACTAATTTTTTACTAACTAAAATTGTCTTAAAAAGGTCATAAATATAATATAAAGGTAATTTCTTGGTATCTTATAATTTTAAATTCAGAGCTTGGGATCTTTTCTTATGTTTATAAAATAATTTCGGCTTTAATTTGCTGAAGACTGTTCTTTAAAATTCACGTAGCTATAAGTTAGCGTCTCTCTGAATTAGTACTTGGGAATTGTAAATGCACTCTTTGCTAGAACTTTCTTGTAGGAAAGCCTAAGAGAGAGGATATTTACGACGTTTGTTATGTATATGGATTTTTTAAAAATAAGAAAATATATTTATTTGTATTATATTATAAATTACTTTAAAAACATTTTTAATTTATGAATGAATATATTATAAATAAAATTTTAAGCATTATATATTATACTATTTAAAAAAGGTTTTTATTTTATAGCTGAATACATTTTTAATAATATTCTAAATATTATTTCTACAGTGTACCTCCTGACCCGCATCTCTGTCCCCTGTTAAGCTGATTGAGTCAACATCTGAGGTCAATGGAAGTAAAGTTCCCGGGGTTCAAAACACAGCAGGAAACAAAGAAGGTCCCTTGGCCTACAGAAAAAATATGTGGGTTAACTTTGGCTCTCAAATGTGTGTACTTTATTGTCAAAGGATTAAGAGATTTTAAAAGCAGACTTTAAAGTATTTTGTATTTTCATGTATTAAAAAAGGGGATTTGAAACATAAGGGAGAATGGCAAGAAAGGGCATACACAGGGTTAATCCCTGCCCCAAAAAAAAAAAAACTGCTCTTAAATCCCAACAGAAGCTGTCATCAAATTTTCATTTGAAAATAAAATTCTTTCTAGGAATTAACCATAAGAAATATAAGATTATACCCCCTCAGTTCACAACTCTTCGCCTTGACTTTGTCACTTAATTTATCACAATTTTCAATTACCATTTTTCAGAGATTTATCATTCCACACCCAGCACGCTCTTTCATTCACTCACTCATTCATTCATACATTTATTCCCTCAGTAGATGAATGATTAATTTTTTTTTTTGAGCCTACCTAATTATTCAGCGCCGCTCAGGGATCGGCGAGTAATTACAGGAAATCCTTTTCCTGCCGCTCACTAAAAAGCATTTCAATGTAAAAGGCATTCGGTGGCTGTTCTTGCGGCTGCCACACACGCATGCCAAGAGAAGATCCTTTTCTTATTTCATTTATTTTTGGGGAAATCGCAGCATATGGCCAAGGATCTGGTTGTGGTGTGAGTCCAACATGTGTCTGGAGCTGTCAAGTGCCGAATCCTTTTACTCCACGCGTGAAGGCAGAGATCATGCCGATGATCGAGTTACGCCAGCTTACTCAGAATCCTTATCCTTTAATCCATCCATCCTTCAATCGATCGAGTTGCAGCACGCGTACGCCCTAAAAAATATAGGGATTTGGGATTCAGGACTCAGGATTCGCTTCTCGAATGCCAGGGCAGATGTTACACCTCCTGCTCTCTTTGAAGCGGTGTCATGTTGCGATCTCAAGTGCATCTAATGGTTTGTTTATCAGCATCCTCGATCGTTGGCCAAATAAATTGAGAGTAGGTACCATTTGTAAAAAAATTCTTAATTGATTGTGTGGCGACGCTCTAATCATTTCTAATTGCAAGGCGAAGGACTCAAAGAGATGTCCTAAGATAAAATACACTTACAGAAAAAGAGTCTTCCCAAAGCAAGCATTTAATACATTTTTAATACAATTTTTAATACAGAAAATAAAAGTAAACAATTTATGTAAAGCGGCTGAAGGTTTGGCCTTAGTGCCTGTAGTCCACCAAATGAGGTTTTATCAGCCTTGAATTGCGTTCTAAATTAGACAAATGTTAATTAGAAGTAAACATAATTAAATTTAAGTTTTAAATAATTTAAAAAAAATTTTAAAAGGCAAGACTTCCTTTTAAATAATTTATATAGCATGTAAAACTGGCATAGAAAACCTTCTTACCTTTAACATTTCCTGGAAATACTTGGTGTGGCATCCTTTTAATTCTTTCTTTAGCATTTTCCTGGAGCTTAAGCTCCTTATTCTGTTCCACCTCCTTGTTTTCTTTCACTTCCATAGTTGGTTCTAGTTCTATATTCTTTAAGTTTAAGGACTCCTGGACTTTATTCTTAGGATCTTCTAGATTTAAACTCTGCTCCGGTTTGTCCTGTTTCTCAAGAATGGCCTGGTCTTGCTTAACTTCTTCATTAGGCCAAGAAAGAAAGGTTTGTACAGCTGCTACAAATATACATAAATATAATTTAAATAAAATTAGGCCAAGAAAGAAAGGTTTGTACAGCTGCTACAAATATACATAAATATAATTTATATAAAATTATAAAATAATATATTATAATTAAGGTTATATAAACTCACGATTCAGTTCAACAGGACACTGCTCACATGCTGGCGATCCATGGTGGCGGAATATGCCCTCCAGAGCTCCTATATTGAGCATCACTAGGGGTAAACCATTATTAATATCTTCCCTGAAACTAAAAGAGAGATCTGATAGGATCTGCTTACAAGGCATACCCCACACGCTGGCCAGGATCAGCAGGACTAGTAGAAAAAAGGGTGTCCAAATGGGCAGACCAGCAGAAAGCATTTTGGATCTAGGAAATGGTTACGAAGCGTTAAGGAGTTTGAAAATGACTAGAACTACATAGAGTTCTATAGAAAAACTTAACCAGGCCTGCTTTACATTTACATAAAATCCTAAAAATTTTATCAACTATTTAAAAATGAATTTCTGTATTTACTTTACCAGTTTTTTCCCTCAGTGCCCTTACAGTTAATCCCCAGCTCATCCCCCTCCACATATGCATGATGAACCCAAGCCAAAACAGCTGCCCCTCGCAAACGATCTAACATACATATCTTCTCTATTGTCTGGCCAGGAATCGGCATTTGAATCTCCAAGGCGATAAGAATCACCTACCTCGAGGGACAGGATGTGCAATGAGAGTTGCCAAAAAACAATAATAAAACCCAAAGAGCCAAAGGATGTTTACTTAGGCTCACGTACGTGACTCTGTGAGGTAATTTCAGTAAGTCCAGCTGATAATTACGATTGCCTTGGATATATATTTGCTTAGCCTTGTTGATTTTCAATTACGTGCCCGAGTCCCAGAAACCAGATTGTGATGTGTTTGTGCATAAATTGCCAGGCAAAAGGAAGTTAAGCCGCCTCCCCTCGTTCGATAGTTATAATTTACACATCTGGCAGATGGATGAGCGCATTCAGGGGGAGCATCGCGTGCCTTTGGATATATACCAAAAATATCCCAAAGATATCTTCAACTATATATAGAGCTAAAACCACCCCCGAAAACTAAACGATTTACGAGTCTTGGAGTCATTAAAGATCTACAAGAAGCAAGGGAAATGTATATACAGAAAGCTGAGGCTGGTCTGGGGCGTGAGCAAGTTAGTTATAGTTATTTTTACGATCGCACAGAGAGAGAGGGATTTCCCCTATATAATCCCATAGCATAGCAGCCTCCCTACGTTTTATTGGCACTTTCCCTGGGCTATAAATCAATAAACAGATTGTGTGGCATATCTCCAGCCTAGTCATAAAGTTTTCAGCATTTTCTTTTCCTTCGGGGAATTTTTCGCCGGTTCGGAGGTGTAGGTAGCAGCAATAGCAGCTGTCATGTTTTCCGTCGACTCTTTTTTCAGGTTTTTCCGAGTCTCCACAACTGAAATCTTATTACAAAAAAACATCCGAATCAATCAGAAAAAAAGAATCATAATAAAACCAAATCAAGTAACCGTAAATAAAAATTAAAAAAAAGCTGAAAAATAAGAAGCGCTCGTAAAGAAACTGGCGCAGACACAAACATTCCAAAAACGAAAATGCCACACAGCCTGCAAAATGAAGAAATGCACTGGGAAAAAAGAGTACCTTACAGATAACTTGATAATTTTTTTTTATATTTGTGAAAATTAGGTAGTTTTGGTAGAAGTTGTCAAAGAAATCCTATAAAAAGTATGACTAGAAATCAGTTTTCTTTGCCTAAAAGGTCACAGTGGTTTTAGAAGGCATTTTCATCAGTATCCGATTCTAGAACCTGTTGGGAATTATAAATTTATTTGAGGGGAAAGGGCACATATAGCAAGGAATACTTTTTTACACTTAATTTCTATTTAAAATTAAAAGAAAAAACATTAAAAAAGGAGTGGAAAAAAACCTCATGTGGTAAGAAGGCAGCTATTATAATTCCCAAGTACGAATTCGGTTAGTTTATTAGTGCACAAGAAAGGTATTTATAACATTTGTAGCCCAACAAAAGTTGTATAAATATTAAAATTACAATATTTATAATTTAATTTAATTCTAACTCGCTCGAAATTCTTTAATATTAATTTTTCCCATATTTTTCCCATAGTGCCTTACAGATTCCAAGACAAGATCTGATGATGGGAGACCTGGGAAACTGAAAGAGATTCGAATACCAAAGACCGTAAACCGTAGTATACCGTACACCACCGGAGACAATGGGGCAACAAGCCGCAGCCACAGCCACAGCCGCTGCCGACTTCCGCTTTCGTTTCATAAATTCGGATTAAGGCATTTTCAAATGATAACAATGAACGTAAATAAAGAGAGAACGACGGTGAAGAAATGCTCCGTGAATCTGATTAACGGCCGGTCACAATGGGAACTTTACTTTACTTACTTACAAAACGTGTCACGTAAATGCCCAGCACCGGTGGTCGGGCAGTAAACCAAATTAAACCCACAACGACATGACCAAGAACAATCCGCAGCAGCAGCAGCAGCAGCCAAAGCGAGGAAAGCTCAGCGCACACCAATTGTCTCCGAAATAGGGAAAATCCCTAATGAGGCGACGCTTCTTTTGCCAGTTAAACCACATAGAGGGATCTTGTAGCTATACGATCACGATTTGTGGGCGGGTTGAGAGGGAATAGGAAAAAGGGAGATGGGATTTATGTTCAGGTAAGGGAAAGAACTCAAGGGTCTTGGTATAAGATAGACTTTAAATATAATACAAAATTTTATAAATAAATACTAACAGTTTTGAAAGAAAATAATTTTTAATGTTGTAAGAAAATACAGAAAAAATCCCATTTCGTCTGCCAAAAAATAAACAAAAATCAAACAAAATATAGCAGAAAATTAAAAAGTAACTTGGCAATACCGTTTGGACAAGCAAACACAAAGCAAGGACAATGGATCGATGCCAATCGACATCCCGTAGATACGTGCATCCGCTGGATGAATGGCTCGACGCATTTGGCAAATATTTGAGCCTAGACAATTGCATTTCCTGCCCAAGTGTGCCTGCTGCTGCATCCCGTTCGCCAAACGACAACAACACATGGGATTAGGTCCTGACACAGGAGCACGAATCATCTGTTGCTTCGGCGTCGAAAACAGAAATTAAGGCTTCTTGTGAGCCCCGGAAACGGGAAAGGGATTGGGATTGGTAATGGGAAATGGTATGGGGGGAATCCCGAGGAGAAGGCGCGTACTCTGTACACAAACAGGAGCAGAAGCAGGGGAAAAGGACGAGGCAGAGGAAGCGAGAAGGCTGCGAGGAGCAGGGAATTGTAAAAACAAATGTTGTCAAACAACAATAACAAGGAAAAGGATGTCCTGCTGAGCGGCGCAAAAAGTGCGTAGAATGTTGTGCGTTGCAATTAACATTTATAAACTGAAAGAAAATGTGTATAAGATTGAGAAGAATTTGAAATATAAGAACTATTTATATTTTATATATTTATAATACAAATATATCACCGCCTCAAGGAGGTTGTTTTGAGCTTTATTAGCTTCTTTTCTATGCTAGATTTGGTAAAATAAACCTTATAATTCCCAAGTAATTATTTTGCAAGAAAAAATAGTTGATTTTTATTTGATTTCCATTTAGTATTTTCCTTGTAAGCCTTGGTCTTTCATAATCTTTGATTTTTAAATGAGACCCAATTAATTAAATGAAATGTAGTCAATAATTATATAATTTTTTAATCAATATTTAAATTACTTTTATTAATTTTATAATTTAAAAAACTTTAGCTTATTAAACAAACTATTTTACATATATATATTATGGAAATTGATATTTAATAATTTCTAAAGAAACCTTAAATTTGTTTCTCTTAGTGCACCGATCATCCCGTCATCCTCTCCGCAGGACATGTGGCAAGGCAAACGCAGCGGGGCAACCAAATTAGTTTCTCATTTCCAGGCAGTGTGAAATGCAGCACAGGAAGCGCAGTCCAGGACCTGCAGCCGGTTCAATTCGATTTTACACTAGTCCAGCATACCGGGATTTTTTTTTTTTTTGAAAATTCTGGCGGCGCATTGTCCGCTCACGTCCACGCACAGGTACAAGTCCCAAAATATTGCCAGTGATTAGTGACTTTTTATGGCCCGGTGGCGATGAGGAAACGCCTGCGGCGTTAATTGTTTGTCTCCGGCTCATGGCTGTCCACGTCCTTTTGATTTGCACCGCCCTAAGAGGTTAATCTGGGCCACAGGAAGCGGAAACGGTGCCAGCAGTAGGCGGAAGAAGGAAGTCGAAAGGTGGAAGAAGGAAGGCGGAAGCCGGAAGATCAGGAAATTAGTCGGAAAATTTTGGCTTATTTGTTTGCCATTAAAGGATGAAACAGATAAATAGATGGATTAAGATACAAGGATTTGTAGGCTACAAACAAAGGGATAAATAGTTCAGTTGTAGATACAAAGGTACAAGTTACAAATTAAAAAGGTCTTTAGATATTGTTATAAATAATCTAAATCGAAGAGAGTTTAAGGAATTAAAAACCTTATTTTTACCGTTTCCTTTACAATTACTATATAATTAATAAGAACTTAAACTAAGATATGAACTCTTTATGCCATTATGACACTACTTTTAAATTTAGCCTAGGGTCATACCTTTTTTAATAAGTTTTGATATGCTCCACCTATGCAGCTATGACACTGCATTTAAAACAATTTTAAGCTTTTAATACAAATCACACAAATCTTTCGAGCTTTTTTTCCGGTTTATTGTTGATATATTTTCGGATTTTGGATTACTCGGAAATTTTGTAGAACTAAATCTTAAGACCACCACGCGGCTGGACGGAATTATGCACTAAGTCGCGAACCGAAGTACAGCTTCGGTACCCGACAATGCATAATTTCCGGTGACGCGCTCTCTTTTGGAGCTCACAACCACTTCTTGGCTGGCGGGTTGGCTTGGCAGTCCAGATGGCTCGACTCTTTGCGCGGAAAGCTGGGCAGATCCCTGACGTAGGGCTTCTGGTGGAGAGTAACACCGGCGGCGGTGCGTACGAGACTGCGACGACAATTGGTGCCCGCGAGTAGGTAGTTCACCGGAAACTTCAACATTCCCGGCCTGTAGTGGGCAATGGGACTGAGGCCTAACAGAACCGTGCTGTTCTTGCCGCCTCCGGATGTTAATCTCCTCTGACCAGCGTCAGTGTCCATACTGGAACATTCCTCCTGGCATCGGCGATCCTCTACATCCTGCTTGCCCGAATTGCATTGCCTGGACGGATGTCTATTTTGATATTTACACCTTCGGCGGGCTCTCCTACGCCTGCGGCTATCGCCACCACCAAACCTGGAGCAGGAATCGCGGCTTCGCCCACGCCAGGAGGAGTCTGGCAAAGATCGTTGTTCCTGGCAGTTGGGCAGAAAGAAGGCTGGATAATTAAGATAATTGGGATTTGTCTGCGAACTATCCGCAGTGGAGGAATTGCTCGGTAACGGTGTGTTCTTGGATTCCTCCGTGCCTGCCTGGCTGTTCGTCGGGCTGGTGACTAGCTTTTCAGGTTGAGATTGAACCGGTTCTTGGGAGGGAAGGTGCTTTTGAGCAGTAGGAGCACGATTCCCTAGGTAATTAGTCTTATCAGGAGGTTTTCCTGAAGCTTTTCTCCATGTGTTTGTCTGCTTAGATTTTTCTGGTTTCACATTAGTCGATCCTGCCGATTTTCGTTTATCCTTTTGAGTTACCGTCTTGTTCTTGTTCTGGTTCTGGTTCTGGTTCTGATTCTTTTTCTTCTCGGTCTTTTGTTGATAACCTTGAACGAAAATCTCAAGAGCCTGCGCTAACAACAAGGCCAGCTTTTCCTTTGTCTCAAAACCCTTGCGACAAAACTCGCAATTGCAAGTGCAGGTGCAGGGGCAATCCTGTCCCTGATCCTGATCCTGCCAAGCGTTACCACACGGTCTCGGATAAAGATCTTGCCTTGAGGGTGGACCCTCCCTCATGGGGCACTCAAAGCTGGTACATGGCGTGCGAATTGGATATCTATCGACATCATAAGCTGTAAGGGGAGAAGCAGAGTTTGTAGTTAGTTTCGTAAGTGAGCCTCATTTTCTTTCTTAACTTACAGTTGGAGTAGAGAGCTGGACCTGGACCCGGACCCAGACACTGACCCGGGCCTGGACAATGAGCTGGACCTGGACAATAGGCCGGACCGGGACCCATATCGTAACGATAGTCATAACTCATCGGTTGCTCATAGCCCCTGTTGTAGTCAAAGTAGTCGTAGTCCATATAGCCGGGATTATCCTGGTAGTTATTCTGGTAGTTGTTCGCAACACTTTGTTGATAGCCAGACTGCTGTTGATTAAGCACCTGTCCTCCGTCGCGATGTATGGCATTGGCCAGCTGATCCACCAGTTCTTGCCTATTCTGGCAATCCTGCAGGACAATGATGTTGAGGTTCGGGTGACCCGATAAGGAGCTGTTGACTTGTTGACATTGCACATTTGGTTTCTGGTTGAATTGGGGTTGACCACTCTGATTAGACGGTAGTGAGCATGCATTTGCTTGCTGTTCCATCGGCTGGCACTTGCACTGGTAGTAATTGCTCACCGCCGTTTGGATCCTATCATTGCACTGGGGACACATGTTCTGACCTGGTTGACGAATCTCTTCCCGGTTACAGAGTGGACAAATCTCACAGTTGCCGCCCGCACGACGTTCGGTATACTGCTTTTGGTCTGGGGTAGTCCTAGGTGGCTTTGACTTATTTTTCTTCATTTTTTTTCCACATGCACTCTCCTGGGAGAGACGTTCAGCTGAGTAGTTCGTGGAACGACTGGGACACTCTCTTGTGGTGTTACTCCCTCGCCTAGGACACGGTTTCTTCTTCTGGCAGGGTGACACCGTGTAATCCGGAGACCTATCGTTCCTTAGCACGTAAATCTTCTCAGGATTATCAGGTTGACTGCCTGGACATGGATCGCAGGATCGCTGGCAGCGAACGCCACTTGTCAGCTGGGAGACATCGGAGACGCTTGATTGGTTAGAGGAGCAAGACTGGTTAGACGCCTCCGAGATGCTCCTGTGGTTCATAATTTTGATGTTACCGAAAAAAGATTCATATAATAAAATATGCCAATCTCAATATCCGACACGTGCCTCGAGGCCTATTGGTCGGCATCATATGACCGGCTTCTTGGGCCGCCCGAATATCTGGCGCCAGCTCCATGTTTTGCTTTGCGGAACGGCGGATTGCCCAACGCAGGATTCCCCAAAAATCCAGGTCTGCAGTTGACCTAATCCCGTCCACTTTGGTGGCATCAGCATCATTGAAGGATGTCTCGCCGTTCTGGGTAACTTGGGTAATGCGTCATACTTCCTCAGCTGAACGGGACCCATGTGGTAGGGATGAGACGTCGCAACTGAACGCGGATCAAGAAAGGTTCCTCTATAAAAGGGATTAATCTCTGTGCCCATAAAGTTAGCTGGTCTGTATGTTTGATGTCCAAACACCTCTTGTGGCATCGCGTTGGCTGGTGGAGGAGATCCCATGTAAACGGGTGCTAGTTCCGGTCGAGCTTGCGGATAAAACGGTTCCTGTGGCTGCTGTTGCTCCTTATTTTTTTCCTTGCGGTGGGAATGCTCTCTATGGGAACGATGTCGATGCCTTGAATTACTAGGACCTTCAGCTCTAGGCGACGATGTCCTATGCTCTCGCTGAAGAGCTGGCGAGGAAGCTAGTTGTGGTGTTAATTGAGGAGCTACGAAAGGTGCTAACTGAGAGGCTAACTGAGGTCCTCTTGACGCTTTGGGAGGATCGCTTCCCGACATGGAAGCTATGAGTTGATCTCTTCCCGACATTGAAGATTTGGGAGGATCTTTTCCCGAATTTGAAGCTAAGCGTGGATCTTTTTCCGGGTTTGGAGCTGAGCGAGGATCTCTATCCGAGTTTGGAGCTGAGCGATGATCTCTATCCGGATTAGGAGCTGAGCGACGATCTCTGTCCGGGTTAGGAGCTGAGCGATGATCTCTTTCCGGATTAGGAGCTGAGCGAAGATCTCTTTCCGGATTAGGAGCTGAGCGAAGATCTCTTTCCGTGTTTGGAGCTAAGCGAGGATCTCTTTCCGGGTTTGCAGTTAAACGAGGATTTCTATCCGGATTTGGAGCTAAGCGAGGATCTCTTTCCGACATTGAAGCTAAGGCAGAATCTCTTCTCGAATTTGTAGTTGAGCGAGGATCTCTTCCCGAATTCGAAGCTAAGCGAGGATCTCTTTCAGAGTTTTGAGCCGAACGGTGATCTCTGCCCGAATTTAACGCTAAGCGAGGATCTCTTTCCGGTTTTAAAGCAGAGCGAGGATCCCTTCCCGAATTTGAAGCTAAGCGAGGATCTCTTCTCGAACTTGAAGCTAAGCGTGGATCTCTTCCCGAAGGCATGTGTTCAGACTGGTTCTGCTTTTGGAAAGACGACGGATCAGCGGTTCGACTTTGATGATGACTAGCCCGACTTTGGTAACCGTTAGCTGATGCAGGCATAGACAATGCTGGCCTCGGGCTGGAATATCGTATTAGAGTAGAATTATCTGTAGGTAAGAAAACCTCCAATTTAAGCGAGTATGACAGTTAAGTGAGAAAAAACTTACTCGATCTGTGAGACGATGTCCGGGAAGGCAACCCAGACTGACCCCCCGGGTACTTCTGTGTCTTTTTTAAGCTTGAAGCTGGCTGATGGTGGTTTCGGTATTCATTAGCTCCGCCCTGGCAACGACGCTTTAAACAACACAGGTTCATCTGGTACTTGGGTCTGTATGTCGACGACGTCTTGGGACGTGTCAAGTTCCGACTAAGAGTCCTGTAGATACAGCGATTGCTCTGGGAACACAGAGAAAATGAATGATCTCAGTTATTGAAAGGAAATAATCTTACAGGCACTTGCGACATCTTGGACACGGGTATGAACCTACTACAGCTTTTACGAGTTGCCCCCGAAGTACATCTCTTAGTGGTCAACGCACTCCTATGCCTTTTTATCAGCGCCTTATGGCAATGAGGACAGAGCGTAATGATTCGGTTCTCTGGACAACGGAAACGATAGCTCTTCACGGGCTCCTCTATCAGAGTTTCGTTCGAGCAGCGACAATTCCGTTTAGTGGTCGCCGGCTGGGGCCTCGGACAGCAAGGGGATCGTGATCTTGGCGGATAGCACACAACGGGCTCCGTCGTCATAGGAGATGGCTTGCAACAACATCGTTTACTACTGTCCCTCTGATAGTGTGGGGATTGTGATCTCGTCCGGCCATAGGCGGGATTATCGCAGCTCTGTGCATTATAGGTGCAGTTGGCCCGCACATCGAGGGACTTGAGATATTCAGCCCCAGGTCGATTTTTTTCCATACAATCGCTGGGTGAAGGCCTAATTCTTCGCGTGGAACATCTAGATCTACTCCTGGATCGCCGTCGAAGAGGTGGCGAACATCTCATAGGAGGCGGTGGTGGTAGTGGTGATTGACAAGGTCCATTGACCTGAGTATGCTGGCGATTTGAGCAGGTGCGAGCACAAGGTGTGGCTGATCTAAGGTAGTACGCCCTATCAGAAGGATTTAATTTGCGTGGCAACTCGCAACACCTCTCAGTCGACGGACGCCTTGGCGAAATTATAGCCTCATAACTGTAATGCTTCTTACGTCTACGGCACCTCTCAAAGGATCCCTTTAAACCTGCAAAACTGCCTTGGGAACGCTTTCGCTTAGGTGGGTAGTTCGTCTCACACGGTGGGATTGTTCCGCAACTGCATATTGATTGAATTCCCTGTCGAGATTCCTGAGTATATACACTACACTCCATTGGCACATAAACTGGATTTGGTTTGGGACTATGCTGGAAACCCTTGTACTCCATATAGTTAGTTGAACCTGTGGCCCTCTGCTGCTGACAGCAACCATAATCCTGGGGCTGAGTATTAGACGGCCATTGTGCCATTGACATTGGATCCTGCCATTGCCATTGTGTATCCTGCCATTGCGGATTCTGATAAGTTTGGCCAGCATCTGGATAAGTACCATATAAATTATGAGGCTGAAAGGGTCTATATGGACATTCGTTATGCGGTAGATAGTCACAGCTCGTAAGATTTTGTTGATACAACGGCGGCGGCAAATGGCAGTCGCAATCGCCCCCACACATTCTGGAGCTCCTCTCTGGGCTCGTCTTTGGGTTCATCACTGGGTTCTCCTCAGGGCTCTTCTCTTCTCCCTTGGGATCCATGGCTTCCACGTAGGTGCTACTCTCATAAGCACCATGCTCGATAGTTGGCGATGGATTGACCAAGTCAGCCATTGAAAAATAGAAAGGATTTGGGTCCTTAAGTAATTGCAGTCAACATAAAATGGTTACATTACAGATTTGGACAAAATGCTAAACGATAAAGGTGTGTTTTTTATGAACACAAAAACGGCTTAAACACCAAACAAATTTGAGTTGACTGATAACTCAAAGAGAAAAGGATCAAGCATGAAAGTAGCATATAAAATGGTCTTTTATTTGAAGTTGGGCAAGGGGAAATCCTCTTACCAATGGGAAAGTCTAGAGTCTAGCTTTATTCCACCAAAGTACAACAATATCTTTGCTGGAATATAGCTTTACTTTAGGCTTCACCGATGGTCTAAGATCACCAACTTAGTTTAGTTTAGAAAATTCGTGTATGTTCTGGCGTATTTAAATTATAGTTCATCTAAAATGTAGTGCAGCTCTGGCCTCCCGACAGACTCCATAAGCGACTGTAGGCCTTGTTTAGGGTTTTGGCTGTCAGCGGCAGATCCTCCCACAGCTTCCAGCTGCTTTTTGGGTCCAAAATTGAGCTTACTGATCTCGGACTTTGCATTTGGATAAACTGTTTGGATGACGAACGAGAACGAATGCGGGTTGGAGTGCGGCTACGATTGGATCGTCCTTGACTTAGCTTGGAGTAATCCGGTTTGGGCCAGTGCAGGGGTCTTCTCATGGGCAAAAATGGCAGTGGACCAGAAGAGAGATAGTCCAGGTCATTCAGGCGATTTTTTAGACGCTTTCGAAACCTTTTCCGACGACCTAATCTGGGATTAATTCAGGACGTCAGCTTAAGCTATAGAATACTTTTTGAGGACTAACCTGGGATGCTCGTCCTGATAAACATCGCCACACCTTTGCGAGTACCCCTCATATGCTCCTTGAATCCTTTCATCGTCTGTAATGTTGGTAATATTCCCATCCGACTTTGACAATCGCTCGCCTTCGTCCTCGTCCTCATCGGAGGTCACCATCAGATACACAGAATATTGTTTCTGGAGACCACCATCACCGCCAGATCCTGCTCTCAGCCGACTCTGCATATCCGATTCAGCTTGGTTCTCACACATAAGGGCCACCAGTTGCATCAGCGAGTGACACATGGGATCCGCCTTCAAACCCTTGGCCTGTTCACTCCTCAAAAGTTCATTAATATTGAGTTTCCTGCATCCCTTACCCTTTGCCGAGGTGGCTTTCAGAGGCACTTGCTTGAGCAGTTTACTGAATCCATCGATCTGGGTATTGGTGGACTTGTCCATCAGAGTAGTACTGCTTGGGTATGGAGTTCTACAATCGACTTGACTTTGTTCAGTAGTTAGGGTTATGGTGCTGCTTTCACTTCCCAAATCTAGAAAATCCGTGTAGGGATTTACTTTCTTTCTGGGAACATCAGGCTTTTCTTGAAGCTTTGTCTTGTCGGGACTCCTTTTGGTTTCTTGATAGGTAAAGTTGTGGTTTCTATTAGGGTTTTGGAGCTTCTGTGGTTCTAGTAAACAGCTGGCAATTTTTCCAAAATTAAAGTAATTATTTTGCTCCAGTAGTTTCTGGGCCTTGCGGTGTGCCTCGTCAGCTGCGTGAAGTTGCTGCTGCTTCAGACGATGTTGCTGCAGTTGTTGTTGCATCTTTTCCAGCTCCAGCTTATGGAGTGCCTTTTGCTGTTCCTGCTTTTTCTGAAGCTTCTTTTGTAGTTTGTGCTGTTTGTAGAGCTCCTTTTGTTCTTGCTGCTGTTTTTGGAGCTGCTTTTGATAGAAAATCTGATGTTGCAGCACCCTCTGCTGCTCTCTTCTCAGTAAATGCTGTCGCCTCCTCTTACTTGGCTTGGGTGGAACCTCGGGCTTTACCGGCTCCACTGTGGGCACCTGAAATTGAGTTGGAGCCTTGATGGTCACTCGTTTGGTATTGTGAATTCCTGCAGCCTCGGGTTGTGGCGATCTCTTCAGAATACTAATAGGAACTGGCAGATGAGGTGGCTGCTGCTGCTGCTGTTGCTGTTGCTGGTGAGGCCACTGCCTTGGATGCATTTGGACTGCCGAGGGATATCTGAGAAGATTTCCCTGTTGATACTGAAAGGATCCATGAGGTTGTAGCAAAGGTCTGGCGGGTACCTGGTGGTAGCCTAGATGGGGAAAGGGAGGCATCATGGCACCAGGCTTGAACAGGTTTCCCTGACTACCCCTGTATACGTAACCCATGGGCTGGTAATTCCTGTGAAGTGGCAAGGGCTGCTGCTGGATTTGCCTGGGCTCTTTCACCAGCTGATGCCGCATTGGACTCGATGGCTGTGGTCCACACATCTTGTTCCAATACTGGGGCACTGGCAAAACCACAGGATTCTGGGGTCGCTGCTGCTGCTGCCAGAGATTCTGGTAGGCACTCATCGAAGCCTGCTTGGCCGAACTACTCAGAAGTCTTCTTCGAACCATTTTAATTTTTTTTTATGAATTTTTTTTATTAATTTTAATTTTGACTTAGTCTAAGTTTGAACGTTTCCACTGACTCGATGGTCTTTTGCTGTAGTCTTTTCTCGAGCTTGTGGGTTCATTGAAAATTTTGATTGCATTCTATGGTCCATAATTATTCTGGAAAGAAAGCCTTGACAAAGAAATCAAGGCCAGCATGGAGTAAATGATTAAATATAAATGTTTAATTTACTATAATTTATTTAAAAAATCGTTTAAAAATAATTGCACTGTAAACTCAAACCCTTGCATAAAACACTTTAAATTAAGAATTAAAAATTATATTATTATTAAATTTTGAAATTCCTTTTTTTGCATTGTTTTCAATTTTTTATTATAAATTATTTTTCAAACATTTTTTCTCTAACTGCCTAAAAAACTTTCAGCTGACGTCACACGGCTTTTGATGCGTAACTCCTGCTCTCTCTCTCTGCGTATCTCTACTGCTGTTCCCTCTCTCATTTATCCAGAAGCTCCATCTCTTTCTCCCAGCGCCCACGCACTTTACCGTAATAGTGGAATTCCCGGCTCCAGTTTCATTCAGCTGCCTGGCAGGCTGCTGGCAGAGAGTTTGAATCAATGGCCAGTTGGAAGTTTCATTCATGGCCGGGCTGTGGCGCCTTCCAGCCTTCCTACCTTCCTTCCTTTGCTTCCGTTTTTCCTTATTCGCCCAGTGCGTATTCCAAGCTGCGCAGGAATGGAGGCAAAGGATATAAAAACCGTTACGAAAGCAGGCGGGCTGATAATGTGTCAGTTTGAAAATATCTTTAGAAACTTACTTAAACAGTTGTGATTCAGTCTAAATATATATATATATTTTTTAATTTTCTAAGCTAAGAAAAGGATGGTGTCCTTCGGTTGTGTTGCCAAGCTGCTAAGCAGCCTCGAGTGCAGATCGAATGTCTGGATCAAGACAGTAAATCCAAATTGGTACGCGGCCCGCGAAATCCCCAAGGTCATACTTACCGAAAAGGTGCTCCAGGCGGCCCAGGCGACCACCTCCAAGATCCGAGCAATGCGTGATAGACCCAATACAGCGGAACCGCCCAAGAAATTAGGTACTCCAATGAGCCAGCCATACTTCTGAGATAAAAATTGATTTTAAAAGTCGTAATTTATTTGTTGGTAAGTAAATTTACCTTCTTTACATTTACATTTAACCATGTAAAATGTTTACTTAAATTAACATGGAGATGTAACTTTACAGGAACCATTAACCGCGTGACAATTAACACTTTTATTTCTGTTATTATCACTTATCAGAGTTTGTTTTCCTCCTAAATTTTATAATTTCTTTCTCTTTCTTTTGCAGATTTGATTAATATACATTAAAAAGTACAAGTTAAAAGTCGCAGTGTGGGTAAGCGTGTTAGAAATTTAAAAAATACAGTGATGTCCTGGAAGCAGTTATCGGCTTCTGTATTTTGCCCTCGCCCAATGCCTGGTCACACCATACCGTGTTTTTGGCGTTTTAAAGATTTTTTTAAAGCCAGTTTAGCTTTTCCCGAAGTGTTGGCCACACTGTGTCGTGTCCAATCACAATCGCCGTCGACGGCGTGATGAAAAAATTCCAATAGAATTAGCCGAGGGCGATTATTATGCCAAATTTGCCGAAAAACCAGCAATGTGAATATCCGAGTGTTAATCGTTAAATGCTAAATGAAGCACGCTTCGCCCACGCGTACGAGATTGCCAACACAGTTCGAGTGCGATTTACGAGTGTGTGAGTGCCTGTATATTATGTACAACGGCAATAAGTAAGCAGAGCAACAACAACTCGCTTTGTTGTTGTCCAGTGATAAGCGAATATAATATAACGCAAATATAATACAAATTCAACGTGAAAAGAAATCTCGAAGCAGCAGCAGCAGTAACAACAACTCGGCGACAAATGGAAATAATAAAGTAAAATTATGGAAAGCCTGAGGAGAGGCGAGATAGAGAGATCGAAATCGTAATGTGTAAGCGGGACCTACTGAAGAGAGAGGGAGAGGAAAACAAGAAACAGCGTCGCAGCGAAGATTAAATAAATTTACAAGTGTGTTTTGTGTTTGACCAGCTTTCGTATGGTTTTTGTTTTCGTTGTTGCGGTGGCAGAACAACAACAACAGCACGCATTTTACATGCTCCCGCTGCGTTGGTGTTAGCTCGTGTGTGTGTGTGTGTGCTTGTATGTTTCCAACTATTTCCAGAGGTGGGCGCGTGACACACTTGCTGGACTAATGATTACAGCCAGGTTGATCCCATAACACTGTGCGTGAGTCACGTAGCCACCACCTCCGGCGGGTCGTGAGATGCGGAAGCTAAAAACATATTCATGAATGGCAATTATGTACTCTGCGCTGCGGCAAGTTTAACCTTCGATACCGAGAGCCTGTGAAGAAAACTGCGCGTACGATTTTCCACTTTGTGGAAGCCGTGACGTTTTTCCTCGCATAGTTCTCTTTTCGTGCGAGTCTCGTGTGTGTGTGTGTGAGTGTGCGTACGTCATGGCAACTCCGGTAAAACGCAAATAAGGCAGCAAAAAAGCCAATTGCCGTTGAGTGGTCTAATTGGACACCTTGCGCATTACTTGTTTATACTATTTACCATTTGGCGACCCGTTATCAATTGCAGGTGCTTTCTCTTGTAAAAGCGGCTGCTTCTAAATGTGTGAGTGCGACCTCGACGGGTTTTTTCTTTGCTTTGTTTTGCGTTGTCCTCCACTCATATGCAATACACTAAGAAAAAGACGATATTAATACATATTTTCGTAGGCTAATAGCAGTGTTTATTAAATAACATAACGTAAACATAGAGAAATTATTTTATTTTTATTTAAAAACCTATTTTCATAATATCTTTCCGTGTATTTAAGACTAATTGTAATTTTTTCTGCCGTTTACTTCTATTTTCCTGTGAAATTCCTTGACTCCTCGAAACCTTAAAACACACTGATTATCTCGCACACCCACAAACTGTTGCTGCTCCCCCCCTTCTCGCTCACGCACACAGTCATGCAAATACTGGCGCTGATAGCCCGTTCTCCCTCTAGCCTTCAGCAATCGATGGGGGCGACTGGCGGCGACGACTGTCTCTCGCATGTTTGCTTTGGCTCTATCTCCTCCCTCCCACTCTGCGGCACCCCCTTCTTGGTCGTCTGCTTTGCTGTCTGGCTTTGGCTGCTGTGTAAGTCCAAGTTCTCTAGCCTTTATTGTTGTTTCTGTTTTCGCCCTCTTTCCTGCCTCTTTCGCTTTCGGTTTGTTGCCTCATTTATTTTACTTGTCGTTTCTTTTTGGCTGTTGTTTTTATGTTTTTTAATCATTTTCGGTTCTCTGATTTGGTAAAAAAAAATAAAGCTACTACTGGTAGTTATCAGCAAAAGTACGGCCCGATACGTGGGAGAACTATACCATATCCATTAGACCAGTCTTCAAGAGGTTCCCTATTCCCAAGTTTTTTATAATTTGATAAAAATTAAGGTAGCAACAAGCCCTAACCTAGAAGTGTTTTAATATTTTGATCTAAAATCTTTTACGATCAGGGAGTATTACTTCAATACTTTAACATTAGGGTTAAAATTCTATTCAAATTGTACTTTATCATTAGAATTTACTAAGTTGTATAACTTACAAATATATCTTTAACTGACATAACAAGACACTTGAGAATTATAAGATTGAATAAATTTTTGTAAGAGCTCTTACCTGTTACAAAATACTAGTTCAATTAAAATTTTTACAAGAATTTGCTAATGTAAAATAAATCATTGGCTACCTTTAGGCCCAATTTCAACTTATTTAAAATCCACAACCATTTTAACGAACAGCTATGTATGTACTTTCATATTTACATATGTATGTAGTTTGGAGTGCATAAGGTGACACCCACAGGATTTTGAGCGGAAGCGGTACCTTTAACCCGGTGACGTCTTTTGCATCCCATTTTTTGCTCTCCACTCGCTCAGGCTCTCTCTCTCTCGTTGTGTCTCTCCCTCTCTCTCCCGCATGTGCGCTGGAAGCGTGCTGGAAGTGACGTAGCAGCCTCTCGCGCGGCGGCAGCTCCAGTTGGCTTCCAATTTGGAAGTTCATTCAGCTTTGACTTTTGACTCCGTGCACTTCGTTCTCCAGCTCTCTGGCAGGTTCTCCGCTTCTCCTCCGGTTTTTGCGGTATGTCTTATCATCCGTTTATCCGGTACTTTGCCTGCCGCCCACTTCTATTGCCTGACTGGTTTGGATTAACAACTGTTTTGTGTCTGTGAATGATTAATGCAAATAAACAAAGGAAAAGCTATCGAAAAAACCTTTCAGAAATGTGAAAATGTGCGAGAATGGGGCGAGAGGTACCGTTTGCATTGTTGTCCAGCTGCCGCTGCTCTTTTCGCACCCGCGAAATATCACGCGAAGCTGGAACAAGCGGAGAAGTTGGGGAAAAACAATTTGTTTATATTATGTGAATGTGCGAGTGTTCTTGTTGTTTTTGTTGCCGAGTTAATGTTTGATCATCATCGTCGCCGCCTGCTTCCTCTTCTTCGCAGAAACGCACACAGCCTCTGCTCTAAATTGATTTCAATGAGCTTTTTTGACGATTGCCCCCCTCTCTTTTTTATGGTGTCTCTCAGCAAGCGAGCGAGGCTCCCTTAGTGTTTCCCTCTCTCTTTTTCGCTTGGCAATTATGTGCGAATGTGTGGCTGTGGATGTGCAAGTGCCCGGTTTTCATATGACCTTGATGCTGTACATTAACCCATTGAGAGCCCCCTATATCTTTATCTCCCTATCTCTCTGTCTCTCTCTTTGCCGATCAGCTTACAAAGCATAAAAAAATAAGAGAAAAAACCCTGTTTTCTTCTTCTTGGTCTTACTTACCTTGCTTCGTTTTCTTTAACTTTAGTTTACTGTTTACACTGCCCGACAAAACTTGGGGCCAGAGTACCTTATTGTAGTATTTGAAAATTAAAATAAATTCAGAATTAAATATTTTACTAAAAGTTGAAAATTTGTTATATCAGTAAAATCTCGTATATTCCTTAATTTAATATTAAAATTCAACAGAAACTGAAATATTTTGACAACTATATTATATATATTAAAACAAGGAACCGTGATTAATGTTGGAAAAACATTTCATGTGCTTGCCTTTTGTTTCCTTCGAGTTTTCTGCTCGAATAGATAACACAAGCTCAGTGGTTTTATTGTTTTTACTTTTTGTTTTTTTGCTATCTTTGGTGTTTGTTTTGCTCTTTAACCCACACACACATGCGCCACGCCCACCCTTGATAAACACAAAAAAACCAAGGTCAACGAATAGGAAAATACTTGCCTTCATATAATAATTTCCCTCTTTTTGCTTCAAAAAGGTGACCGACGGTGATAAAAGTGCAAAACCGAAATGTAAAAAGCAATTTGTGACCAAACAAAGAACAATTAAAAATCAGACTTGAAAGTGTCGTAAAAAATCAAGCAAAATTATATAAAGTTCCCCGGAAGTGCCGTTTTCTCTGCCAAAGTAAATAAAAGAGCGAATAAAGTGCGAATCGGAGTTACCAGGTGGGCATGGCCCACTGCCCGCCACCGAAAATCCGCCGGAGCATCCGAACGAGAAGCTGTCATTGACCTCTTAATCGAATTAAGTGCAATATTATTTAGTAGAAATCATAAGGAGGAATAAGCATCGTGTCTCAGTGTTGCTGGCGGCGGCTCTCCGTACACCAATCTCCCGTATCCCGCATCCCGAAGTTCCAGTCTCCGTTTGCCGTACCCGTGTCCGTCTTCGTCTCCGTCTTCGTCTCCGTCTCCGGGTTTTAGTCTCGCCGCCAGCAATTGAAATCGCGCACGAACTCCGCGACAAAAGAAGATGCATTTTAAGTGAATTTCCTGTGCGCCGAAGCCAATTACGTCGCTGAAATCCAATCCCATCCAGCAATCCCGTCGTGAATCCCATACCCCGAAAAATCCATCTGCGATGGCCACCACACCAACGGCTGGACCAGCAGCATCAGCAGCTCCACCGACCTCAACGCCCCAAAACTACAAGGTGCCATCGACCAGCAAGATATCCGTGGATAAGCTCCTGCGCGTGGGATACTATGAGCTGGAGAAGACCATCGGCAAGGGCAACTTTGCCGTGGTCAAGCTGGCCACGAATATTGTGACCAAGACAAAGGTGAGTTCCATCCATTAAATCATATCAAAATAAAGTAAATTCTAAGTCGAAATACCGATTCCCTCAATTAACGATTTGTTAACTAGTTAGTCATAACTGACTAAGCGCGTATTTGTCTTAACAATTGACATCAGGCGGTTAAAAAATTGATTATATAGGCATTATATCATTATATATAAAAAGAAAAAACATTTGAAAATGGGGAGGACGTAATATTTTTCTAAAGAAATTTTAGTTTAAATAATAGCATATGTCTTTCAAAATGTATTAACAAGAAAAGAAGTATGGAAATATGTTATAGCTCGAACCAGTTGGGAATTTTAAGGCATAAGCAACGGTAGCTTATGGATTTTGCCTAAAAAGTTCAAAGAGCTTAAACCACACTTGAAAAGAAATGTTCAAGAGTTTGTCAAGATTTATTACCTTAACTCTAAAGTAAAGGCTAAAACTAGTTGGGAATTATAAAACAAATTCAGTGAAATTATGGGTCCAAATAAGAAACCCGTTCGAATTGGGATACTACATCTTTCACACACGTTAATATTTCAACCATCAAGCAAGCATTCAAACAACCACTTCATGCTATGTGATGATTTTTGTTTTGCGCATTTGAGTCGATCAAATTGATTTTAGTTGTTGTTCTTTGATGATTCTGTTTATTGCCGCGTAAATATGTGTACAATAATTATTTACACAACTTATTGACAATCGGGAGTTTCGTTTCGATTTCGGCATCTTTCTGTTTCGAATTCGTCGGATTCGGTTGCTTGGCTTTTTGTGTTTGCCTTCAATTGACAATGTTCGAGAGGGGGGGTGAAAGGGTATAGTCCGAAGACGACGACGAGTGTGTATATTCTGAGGTGGCAATCGACAGATGCTAATTGAATCGCATTTGTAAAGCGTTCCGAAAGTATATAGGTATGTGCTTTAGCCGTCTTCCCCCTGTGTGTTTGTGTATGTGAACCTTTTGAGGAAGTAATTGAGTTTTGCCTTTTGTTTTTCGATGTCATTTGAATTTACAAATCGGTTTTTTTTCTGATGTTTCTTTTCCCTTTGAGAATTTCCTGCTATAAAGTCAACTCTGAAGTTGATGAGCTAAGTAATTCACAATTAGGGATATCTTACATTTAATACATAGGAATTACTTGTTTTGAGTCACCAGTAGGCAGAGCTTTGTATCTTTTATCAGTGTCTCTGTGGATGGATGATGTGCTAACACAACAGCAGCAGCAACAGCTGTGACACTTGATAATTGGGCTTGTCAAGAGAGAAATACTCGCCCCGCACATGGCAGCTACAATAAAAGCAATAAAAGTGGGGAACTTTAATCACTTAACGTAACGCAGAGAGTGAGGGAGGAACAAATAAAGAAAGATTTGAGGAAGACGGGGCAACGATATGGGAGAGAAGAATGCAAATTTGTAGGGTAAACCGATCGGAATAAATTTTTGCATAATTGACAACGTTGAGGAATCTGCGCCGAGCACGTGCCCCTTGATGGTGATATCGATCTAAGTAATTATCGCCGGATATGACATGATTGAAATTGTCAACAGTGTCACACACGATTAACGAGGAAGTCAAGTGGTTTGATACAAGAGGTTTCACATTGGGGTCAATGTAAATTTAAATGCATACAATTTTAGAAATCTCCAGAGATTTGAAATTGTTAAAAAGGCACAGAAAAGAGTGCTGCTAAATATGAAAAATTTATTTTATATTTCTTATGGTGTTATGACTACATTTCTGAGGTTTGAACCCTTTACAAGAACCGTTCAATCTCCAAAGTTCAAAGAAGTTTTCAATGGAAGGTTAATCTCTAGGATAGATTAATGTCCATAAATAAGAGCTTTAAAATATTATGATCCAAAAACCCCTATTACTTTAATGAAACGAATTAAGTAGTGGTTTCGATCAGAAGTACTTGATGATGATAAGCCGATCGAATCAGCTTCCCTGGTCGACTGTTTGCTGGCTGTAACGAAATAAAGTTTCCCCTCTGCCGATAAGGACACAGCTGTTTGACAACTTCAAGGTCCAAACGTTGCTCACTTATCTTATTTTTTTTTGCATTGCCAATCTGTATATATGTTTGTATGCATGTTTGGGAATTATATTATTGCCTTAGCGGCTTATCTCCCTCTCTCTTAAGCGCATTTGCCAATAATTTACTATTATCAATGGAAAATGGCAAAAGTTCACTTGTTCCTTAGGTACATAACACATACATACAAGCGGCGTAAAGTAAATAAATTGAATAATGATTATTTGTATAAACCGAAGCAAACGCGAAAAAACAAACGATAAGAAACCATAGCGATATGAGAACTTCCAGCAATCGTCGGGTAGTGTGTACCCGCATAAAAATCCAACCATAACCTAGTTTAAATGAGTTTCTCCTGAAACAATAAGACATTTATCATATGTATATAGCTCACAAATAAAACATCTGATCAATTGTGTCGTCTTCCCTTCTTAAATTTTGCCGGCATGTGTGCCGAGCATGTCAAAATTTTAATTGTTTACTTTCTTTGTTTGGAGTTCTACGCTCTCTTGATCGCTTTCACGTGCCGTTTCAAATTGAATTTTAGTTTACTTAATTTTGTTCGTCTTTTTTCCCCCGTTTTGTTTTGTGTGCGGAATGTGTTTGCACTCAATTGGCAAGTTTTAGTTTAATTGAATTTTTTTCGCTGTTGCCTTGGCAACTGTTTTAATGCTCCAATTGATGCAATTAAGCATCAGCAGCAGCAGCAGCCATGCAGCGTAGCCACTTGATATCCCCACTCTTGTATTTCACACGCAGAAAAATCATTTGGGGTTGTAAAGTAATGCAGTTAGGGATACAAAATTATAAAGAAGAAATTGTATTTTAAATGGTTTTTCTTATAATTTTCGTTATATTGTTTATTTGGCTGTGATAGGAAATCAAAGATTCTTGAAGAATCTAAAAATCGATATTTAATTTTAATAGATAAAATACTTTAAAGTCCAAAGGAAGCATATTATCTTTCCCATTCTACTATTTTCTTCCCGTGCAGCCCTGCGTTTCCCTCTGTCCCTGTCTCTTTTGGCGCGTATTTCCCCCTCTCACCCTCGCATTCGTTGATTGATCTTTCGCTATGAGCAAATATTTAAGCTGCCGTCTGAGCGTTGAGCGGTGGTGAGCGTTGCCTTTTGGCCAGCAGACCGAAAACATGTTTGAACATCTAACACGCGTCAGACCGAGTCCGCGGGGCTGAAAGGGACGTCCAAAGAGTGAGGGAGATGGATGGATGAAATCGTTTAACAATTTTTATTTACCTTTTCATTAACAATTTCGCGGCTTTTTGCTGTTCGTTTTTTGTGTTGTCTGCGGTTTTTTTTTTTTTTTTGTTATAATTTTCGTGAGTGTGTTTACAAAACCCAAAAAATCATGCGCACTAAATCTTCCATCTCTATTTTTTTTTTTGTTAACTATTTACTATTCTGTTGTTGTTGTTGTTTTTCGTCTGACTGCGATAGTAATAAAAGTATGTTGACTCTCTTCCTCTAGCGGCAACCTCGAAATAATTTCGTTATGATAAGAGCAAATGTGTGTTATCAAGCGCGGTATTCTTTTGCTTCTGCTTCTCTAGTGATTCTTTGTCAGAAAAAGCGAATTCGCAAATCAGTCACGTGCGCCGCCTGCCCTCTCTCTTCCACTACCCCACTACCCATAAAGGGGAGGGCCAAGAGGTAGGGAGAAGACCAACAGCACGCGCCAACTTTATGCTCCCACATGCCGCCGCACTCTCCACTCTCCAATCTCTCCACTCGCTGTGCCCCTCGTAGCTTTTGTTTTCGATTTCAATTTGCAGGCGATAGCAAAATAAATAATAAAGCAACATAAACTCAAGTGTTTCCTCTACCATAAACAGAAGGACTTCCTTAAGGCGAACATTTAAGCCTTAGGGTCCTTGAACCTTGTTGACTTAAAACCTCTATGAGTAAAATTTAGTAAATGTGATTCTAAATGGGATTATTTTTAAAGAAAACTATCATTAGGAAGTACTGTGGAAAATTTTAATTAAAAATCCCGTTCATGTTATCATTGCCTTACTGTATTTCCTTAACCAAAAATTTCGCGGTGGCAGCCCATTGAAAATTGATTAACGCGCCAAACTTGTGATTAGCACTTGAGGTTTCAGTTGTTTTGGACGGATTTTCCCTGTCTGCCAAAGGGTAGTGATTAGAGGTTTAAGTTGTTGCCACCAACCACAACCACTTTTAGCCCGATTTCCATTGGCAATTAAGTAGGCCATGACATGGAAACTGTGTAATTGTAGTAATCGATTTTCCATTTCCACTGGAACCTGCCAGGCTGTCGGCGGCAGTGGGAAAATTTTAAAATCCAGTCAGCGCCAAATAGAGTTTACTGACCCCAAAAAAAATATATAAAAACAAAAGCCAGAGAGAGCGCAGAAATTGCAGCAGCCAAAAAGGAGAGGTGAAAGCGAAGGAGGTCGCACACATATCGATTAAACACGCGGAGAAAGGGGGCGGCGGCGTCCGCTGCCACCTGAGGGGGTGACTGGGTGGTAGTTGCCTGAGGGGGCGCGCTGGCTGGCAACACGTTTGATTACCGCGTGTAAATAACAACAACACGAACACTGCAAAAGCTGCAAGGACTCGCCATTGTCCTCGTTGCCGTTGTGCAACGAATCACATGCCACAGAAGCCCCATGGAAAGTCCCAGCAAGAGCCAGGAACTGGTGGAGCCACAGCCGCCGGTTCCTTCAAAAGCCAAGCCCCCGGAGAAGCCCATTCGCAAGCGAAATCAACTAAAAGTCCCGCCTCATATCCAAACCAGGACCCCGAAGCCCACACCCACGGCAATTCTCTGTGAACTAACGCGCCTGAAGGCCCAGCAAAAGTATCTTGAATGCAATCAAGTCAAGCTAAATCCCAATAATTTCATACTTGACGATGAGGAGGACAACAAGGCTGTGGAACCAAACTCGGAGGATGAATTGGATGTGCCAGACGAGCATCCACAAAGTGGTAAAAATCAAAGACCCATCAGCTCCTCCACCGCTGCCCTGATAAGTCTGATCAATGAAATCGAACAGGAGAAGCTGGATCTAAATCAAAAGTTTCAGGAATATCGCTCGACAAAAAGGGGAGAACTCCAGGACATGTGGCACTATGTGGCCGCCATCAAAGAGGATGTCTTTCGTCCCGAACGACTTAGCCAGTATACGGTTAATGCCCTCAGACAACGAATCATTTGCGTCAATAGTCAACTAGAGCGTCTAACGGCTAAGAACTCAAAGGAACTGGAAACCTTGAAGGAGGAATACGAGAAATTGGAGAAGGAAAATAAGTTTCTATGGAAGGGTAATATGTAAGATTTATTTTGGAATATCTTTAGATTACATGGAATCCAAGGGGAAAGTTTGTACTTTGTCCTAAATCTATATAGTGTGAAAATAAAAATATACACTCATAAAAATAGTTTTCTATATTTCTATATTATTCTAAATTAAAATTAAAAGCAAGACACCATAAACATAATTTTGTGGGGTTCATTTTTGTATTTTTCTGAAATGTAGGGCATTTTTTCTGTGATCGGTTTCACTAAGATATTTTTTTATATATTAGGGTGAATTTTATTTGTTTTTCTGTTTCTTATAAAAACCATTGTGAATTCGCCCTAAAAATTTCAAGAACAAAAATCTCTCAAGTGTGCACATATAATTCTCAACAGGTTTTGACCTTCCTCGCTCAAATAAGTGTCTCACGTTTTGATCTCTAGCAAATGAGGACACTTTGTCTAATCCGAATCAAAAATTCAAACAAATTACTTCTTTAAACAAATATAAATAACAAAGTAAAGAAAAGGAACAAGTACCCTCTACACAAAAGACATTAAGATTCCGTTGAATTACGATTTACGGACAAATATTGCTAAAATTCTTGACATTCTTTTGCCGCTTTTCCCGCCGCTCGACACTTTTGTAATCAAGACAACATTTGAGACCTTGCCTTGAGTTTTCCCCTTTAAATCAATAGGACCTTTTGATACGGCTTTTTGTTGGTGTTGTTGTTGCTTTTTTTTTCGTTGCCTTTGGCTGAAGGATTCCTTCCTTGGGCGACATTGGTATTTTTGTTGCTGCGCCTCCTGGTGACTGTTATAGTTGTTGTGTATTTCTGGTTGCGATTATTTTGAAATGTCTCATTTGCGAAGGCTCGATGTTCATCGTGACCAGACTGGAGAAAGGTCAAACGGCACGTGGCAATGGCATTTTGTGGCTCCTGTCCCGCCTTCGTCACCTCACCGCCCCCTCTATCTTTCGGAAGCAGACCCCCTTAATTTATTTCGTAGTATTGTACGTAGTACGAGTAAGCCTGAAGTTCACAGCCCGCGCTCACGTGGCATTGGCGCCGTTTTTCTAGGGCGTAATATCAGTGCAGAATCAGCTTTTGTTTCACATGCAATTATGTAAAAGTGTCAAACTCATCTGGGGAAATACATATGTACCCATCTGTGTGTGTGTTTCTTTATTATAAACAAATAGTTTTGCACACTTATTTACTTGTCTCAAGTTCAAAGTCTCACACGCCGTGCGAGATTTATATTGCTTTTATATTTATTTGCAAGTATTTTTGATTGAAAGTGTGTGGCTGTCGCCAATTTTATTTTTTTCGATTTGAAAAGAAAAATAATATTGTTTAAAAGGAAGCATATATCAAGCAAAAGAATACTAAGGAAGCAGATACAACCAAACTCGCGGGGTATTTAGCTCAAAACAATAAGAATTATAAAAGAAAACCGGTGGCGATGATGACGATGATGATGATGCCTTGGCTCATTGTCATTCGGGCGGGAGAAGAGAGTGAGAGCCAGTGTGCTTGTACTTGTGTTGTTAATTATTTAACATTGTGTTAAATTTTTTAAATGTTTTTGGCGAATACACAAAAGCAAATAAACAGTCAGCGACGGCAACGACGACCGAAAGTCGTGAGCGAAGAATGTTTTTGTCTCGTCTTCTTCTCTTGCCATGACGCCCCCTAGAGTCTGCTCTGGTCTTGTCGCACTGCCTGTTCCTCCTCCTCCTCCTCCTCCTCGTCTTTCTCCACCGGAACCGTATCCGTAGCGTGGAGATCCCAAGATTCAAACACGCGCACCATGTATGGCCCTGTCATTGTGTGTTTTTTCGCACTGATCTCGTTGTTCTCACTGTGCTGCTGTCGCTGCAGACTGGGCGCCACCTAGTCACCCACCTGAACCCAGACACCCCTGGCAACAGCAGGGGGTTACAGTGGGTTCTTAGTGATGAAATAAGTGAACTATGTTAAATGAAAGCTTAATATTTAACAAACCAGGTAAATATTAAGTAAGAAGAAAAGAGTGATTGTAGGAACTAAATCGAGAACTACAACTAGATATCCATTTTTAACAAATTGAAAAAATCTAGAATATATAGTAAACTTTGATAAATCGAAAATTATTGAATATTGCTATTATCTAATAAAAATATGCCAAAAATGTTATAATTTATTTGTTTTTTTTATACCCTTGCAGGGTATTATAATTTCAGTCAGAAGTTTGCAACGCAGTGAAGGAGACGTTTCCGACCCTATAAAGTATATATATTCTTGAACAGCATCAACAGCCGAGTCGATCTAGCCATCTCCGTCTGTCCGTCTGTCTGTCTGTCCGTCTGTCCGTCTGTCCGTCTGTCCGTCTGTCCGTCTGTCTGTCTGTCTGTTTCTACGCAAACTAGTCCCTCAGTTTTAAAGCTATCTGAATGAAACTTTGCATATAGTCTTCTATATGCTCTCACTGCTATATATGTCGGAACGGGCCGGATCGGACGACTATATCATATAGCTGCCATACAAATGTTGGATAAATTTTTAGAAAAAAAATTATAACTTGGCTGTTTTTCAATATTTTTGCATCATTTTTGAGATATGGCCATTTTATTATATTTCAGAATTTCGGTTTTAATTTTTTGAAAATCGGACGACTATATCATATAGCTGCCATAGGAACGATCGGGAAATTAATAGGAAAAAAAACTATAACTTCGTTGTTTTTCAACGTTTTTTCATCTACTTCGGGATATAAGCTTGTTTTATTATTCTAGAAATTTGGTATCAATTTCATAAAAATCGGACAACTATATCATATAGCTGCCATATAACCCGAGCGCTAGGTGTAGGGAAAATGTAAAACTGGGAATGTAAAACTGTAACTGTCAAACTCTCAACATAATAAGTATAGGTAAAATGCAATGAAATAATATCTGCAAGGGTATACAAACTTCGGCGTGCCAAAGTTAGCTTCCTTTCTTGTTTTTTCGATTATTTTGGTACGATATCCAATACAATAAAAAATTTTATAAACTAGAAAGGAAACTATCTTCGGAAAGCCGAAATTTGTATAGTCTTACAGTTTACCATAGGATCAGGACATTGACTCAAAAATCAATCATAACTAAGCCAAAAATTTATGAATTCCCCTTTGGAAAGCTTTTCTGTGCTAGTTTTGTTCTAGGTCAAGTTTCAAGAGATCAAAAATTGTTCTTTTTTTTGACAATCTTTCTGAGATGACTAGAAAGACTCGCCTGCTAATGCTTATCAAGTATATATTTTGATGGGGTCGAAAATAACTTCTTAACTGATTTCCAAGCTTCTCACTGAATTTATAATACCCTGCGAAATTAGTAAAAACGGGTGATTTCCTTTTATATTAAATTGTTTGGCTTTTAAGTGTTATTTTATTCCTGCGTTTATGGCTTGTAGAAATAGGATAGCCCTAGAATTACATTTTCTGGGATTTTAATTGAATTTTAAAGTAACCAATGAAGGATTTAATCGGTTTAAAATAAGTAGTAGTTATTAGGAACTGATTCATTGGTTTCCAATTATATCAGTTACATGCGTGTCTGAATTTTGTTTTTAAATTGCTTACTTTAAAGGGTAAAATAATTAATTGTTTAAATTATGGCAAAGTGGTGCCTTTTATTGGGAGTAAAGACTTTAAATAAAACTTTTATTATAACTTAATATTATATCATTAAAAATTTTGTTGTGGTAGAAACAATTTCTTTAGGGATTTTATATAAAAAAGAAAATATAATAATAAGAAATTATCTTTAAAAATATTTGATATATTTTTTATAATATTAAATAATTAATAGCATTTGCTCCACTGTTTTTTTTTTTTTTTTGGCACAAACCCACACTGCCTGTATATCAACTCTCTCCCTCTCTCTTTGTTTCTCCCAAATCTTTGTCGTTCTCCCACTCATATCCCCCTCCTCCTCCCCCCTTTCTCGACTCTCCTGCCAAACGTTCGTTCGTTCACCTGGCAAATACCAAACAAACCCAACAGCAGCGACAACAAACAAATGACATGAGCTTTGACTTAATTAACTAAATGCGTTTCCCTGTTTGCTCTCCCCCTCGTTGCAGGTGGCCATCAAGATAATAGACAAGACATGTCTAAACGAGGAGTACCTGAGCAAGACCTTTCGCGAGATCTCGATTCTGAAATCCCTGCGCCATCCTCACATAACGCGGCTGTACGAGGTGATGGAGTCACAGTCGATGATCTACCTGGTGACTGAATATGCGCCAAACGGTGAGATCTTTGATCATTTGGTGGCCAATGGAAGGATGAAGGAACCGGAGGCGGCAAGGGTCTTTACCCAACTTGTGTCGGCCGTTCACTATTGTCACCTGCGCGGGGTGGTGCATCGCGATCTCAAGGCTGAGAATGTTCTGCTTGATAAGGATATGAACATTAAGGTAAGGAGATTATTAATAATTAATAGAGACACTTATTTTAACTCTATTTTTGTTTTGTAGCTCGCTGACTTTGGCTTTAGTAATCACTATGAGGAGGGCGCCACTCTGAGAACTTGGTGTGGTTCCCCGCCTTATGCTGCTCCCGAGGTATTTCAGGGTTTGGAATACGATGGACCCAAGTCGGATATCTGGAGTTTGGGTGTGGTTCTCTATGCCTTGGTCTGTGGGGCTTTGCCTTTTGATGGAAAGACCATTCTAGAGCTTAAAAGTCGTGTGGTGTTGGGGAAATTCCGGATTCCCTTTTTCATGTCGCAGGGTGAGTTCAGGGAAATAAAAACTTAAATAAAATATTAATAATTTAAATCCTTTTAGAATGCGAGCAACTGATCCGCAACATGTTGGTAGTAGAACCAGATCGTCGTTATACCATCAAGCAGATTATCAAGCATCGGTGGCTTAGCGAATGGCAATCGGAGCTGCAGGAAGAGGAACGCTACGAGACTTTGTCCTGCACGGGCACCTTGTCCAAATCAGCTTCCGCTTCCTCCCTAGGCAGCAGCAATGCCCCGGATTCCCCGCCGCAGCTGGACTCGGTGGTGATGACCCATATGCTTCAGCTGCCTGGACTAACGGCCGATATGATTGCCCAATCGGTGCATGAGCAGCGTTTCGATAACATCTATGCCA